CTGGCACGCCTGCGCCGGGAGCCAAGCCGTCTCCGGGACCTGCCGGACAACAGAACGGGACTGCTGGTGGTCCGGCTGCAGCTCCCACTCCGGGAGGAGCAGGGGCAGGCCCTGCACCTACTGTCGGCAGCGCAGCAGCTCAGGCAATGGCGGGCACGACGGCGCCAGCAGCATCTGCCGCACCTGTGACGAGCGCCGCCTACGGAGTCAGCGCGATCCCTGCGACCCTCAACGTTTCGCCGACGGTGAGGCCGGAGCCGTTCCCCAACGCAGCAGGTCCGCGCCCCACCCTCACGCAGGGACTCGGCACGGCGCCGGTGCTGGGTACGCCGGCCATCCTGCAGCGACCCAACCCGCTCGGCAACGCCAATGGCGGTCTCGACGGCTCGGCCACCGACGGAGGCGGAGCGATCGCTGCTGGCGAAGGCGCATCTTCGAGCTGGGAGGAGCTGTTGGGCATCGCAGCGCGAGAGGGAGGCATGGCTGGCGGCGATGGCAACGACCTGTTCGGTATTGATGGCGCTGCCGGCGGCCGCCCCGGTGCAGGAGATGCTGCCGGTGTGGGCGCAGGTCTCGGGGTCGGCGGCGGGCTGGGAGCGGTCGGTGTCACGACGGCGAGTGGCGCTGGCGGCACGGATGGGGCCGGTGCGCTGGGAGGAGCAGACGACCGACTGCTGACGAAGCGCAAGATCCAGGACCTGATTGGCGAGATTGACGCCAACGAGCGGCTCGAGGGTGATGTTGAAGATGTGAGTGACTGCCGTTCGTCGTGCTCGGAAGCACGCTCGCTGCGTTCGGGAGACGACAACGCTCTGACGCTTGGACCCGCACCGTTGCCTGATACATACGGTTCTGCCTACTGCGCGCAGCTGTTGCTCGAGATCGCGGACGAGTTTATCGAGAGCGTGACGCAGATGGGCTGTCGACTGGCCAAGCACCGGCGCGGCGACAAGCTCGAGGTGCGGGATGTGCAGCTGCACCTCGGTGAGTGTGTCCCGGCTTGTCCCTGGACGCCGTTCCCTTGGGCTCTAGTGTCACTTCGTTGCTGACCTTCCATCTCTGGCTGCGACCGTATCCGCGATGGCGATCCGACCGCAGAGAGGAACTGGAACCTGCGCGGTACGTCTTGCCCACTATGTTGTGCGGTGACCCTCGTCGATGCTGCGCGGTGAGCTGGAACTAATCCTCGTCGTCCGATCTCCCTATTCTTTGGCCTCCCGCTCTGCCGGACCCCAACAGTGCCGTTCCCTGGGTCCATGCCGATCCCGCCGCCGCGTGCAAAACCGTCGGCGGCCGGTACCAAGAGCGGCGGTGGCGGTGGTGGTGGCAACTGAGGATGAGGATGGCCTGTCGTGTCGAGCTGCTTGGCAGCCCTGGAAGCGTTTTGTGTATCACCTCGATCTGATATCGCGTTCCACCGGAACAGCGGTACGGTGCGGCGCAGCGCAGGAGGTCGCCGTCTGTCGGCTATCTGCGGTTTATCCGGCCTGGTCTGGCCTGGCCTGGCCATGCTATGCACATGCACGCAGACCTGCTTGCTTGCTTGGTTGCCACTCGCCAGGCGATGCGAAGCGGCGTGGCTGAGTCGCGGGAAGGGGCGAGCGAGGTGGCATCTGTGAGCATACGCACGGCGCACGGCGCTTGTCTAGGCTGCAAGACGACGTCGGTCTCGCCACGCCCGCTCTCGGCACTTGGGCTCGCTCACACGAGCGAGCGAGCCTGCCCCCGCCAGGTGGTCGGCCCCTGGTGGAATTCGCGGAACGGTCAGAGAGGCTTGACGAGTGTGGGGGAGGAAGGAGGAAGGAGGCGGGCTCTTCTGATTGGACGATGAAGGCCGCCAGGGCCAGGGCCTGGACCCGCGCTTTCCTTGCCCCATCATCTCCTCTCCCCTCGCGGAGATACAGATGGAGCGGGGAGGCTATCGCTTGCTTGATCTCTAGGCAGCCACCGACGGCGTCGTGGAGTCAGGAAGCGGTCAGGTCAGGCCAGGGAGCGTAGCGTGTCCTCGCGTGGCCTCTGGCAGCATCCGTCCCCGCTCCCCATCTAACTATGGCTACAACGAGGGACGGTCAGGCCAGCCCCGCACTCTCGCCATCGCTTCTGTTCCATGGCGTCTTGTTGTCGGCCCTGCTTCTACTCTGACATGCCTGTCTGGCCGCGAGAAGAGCGTAGCGTGGCTTCAGTGACCGTGCTTCGCTTTCGACCCAACCGTTGCCCAATTGACCGGCCAGCAGGCAGGCCGACCCCACACTCCACGGGCCACGGGCCACGAGCGCAACGAGAAGATGCGTGGTTGACGGTCGAGGCGAGGAGGACAGGCTGTCCCAGCCTAGCGAGCCTGCTGCCCTCTTGATGGCTGGCTGAGCTCTAACCAGTCGGCCCGACTATGCTATCATCAAGTGGCCTCTTGTCCGCCCTCGACCTGCCTGGCCTGGCCCTGCCTGTCCCCCCCAGTCCCATCCCATCCGCTGCCTTGCTCCCCTCTCTTCGCTTCCCCTCGGCCATCACTTGCTTCCCGTCCTTACCCCCTCCGCCAACGCCTTATCTCCCCTCCGCTCTGGAACCTGCATCGTCTCGTGCCCCTACAGCACCGTACCGTACCGTACCACACCACATCTAAGCCCTCGCCCGTCCTCGCACGGTCGCCTCCCTTGCTCGCTCGGTCCGAAGCCATCCCCCTGCTGCCCTTTTCTATCGCCTCGTCGCCATCGCACCTTCGACCAGTTCCTCTGCACGCTACGTTACTTCTCTCTCCACATCAGTCCCCCGGTCTGCTTTCGCCTCCCTGCTATATACCCCCCGACTTCGCTTGCTATCGCCACCAGCATCAAGTCCACTTTGACTTTTGCCCCCGGACGGATCGCCACCTCGCACCTCGCTCCGCCGCGACCCTGACTTTGACGACCTTTGCCTCGATTGCGCCAAGCACGCACGCGACCATCGACAGACGCCAACGACGCTACGACGCTACGACTCTACGCTCCGCCTCTGCACCCGCGCCTACCCACGGCGAACCAGCGGCCGCTCCCCCCGGGACACCCCTCTCCTCGACTCGACCCGACCATGACGACGCAGCTCAAGCCGACGTCGTCGGTGCACTCGCTCTCGTCGGCGGCGGGCGCCGATGCGCGCCTCGCCTCGATGGGCTACGAGGCGCAGCTCAAGCGCAACCTGGGCATGATGACGATCCTCGGCCTGTCGTTTTCCATCATGGCGGCGCCCTTCGGCCTCTCGACGGCGTTTAGCATTGCCCTCACCTGCGGCGGGCCCGTCACGATCCTGTGGGGCTGGGCGCTCGTCTCGCTCATCTCGCTCTGCATGGCCGCCTCGCTGGCCGAGATCAGCTCCCAGTTCCCCTCGAGCGGCGGCGTCTACGTGTGGGCCGCCTTTATCTCGACGCCCAAGTGGGCGCCCCTGACGTCGTGGATCGTCGGCTGGGTCAGCCTGGTGGCCAACTGGACCCTCTGCCTCTCGATCAACTTTGGCGGCGCACAGCTCATCATGGCGTCCATCTCCATCTTCCGCGACGACGCCTGGGCGCCCGCGCCCTGGCAGACGATCCTCTGCTTCTGGGCGTGCATGCTGGTCGCCGCCCTGATCAACGTCTGGGGCGTCCGCGGCGGCTACCTCGAGCTGCTCAACACCCTCGCCTTCTACTGGACCTTTGCCAGCGTCCTGATCATCCTCGTCACGCTCCTCGCCATGGCCAAGGACGGCCGCAGAGACGCCGGCTTCGTCTTTGGCGGCTGGGAAAACTCGAGCGGCTGGCCCGACGGCTGGGCCTTCTTTGTCGGCCTCCTCCAGGCCGCCTACACCCTGACGGGCTACGGCACCGTGGCGTCGCTGTCCGAGGAGGTCAACCACCCGGAGGAGCAGGTTCCCCGCGCCATCGTGTGGAGCGTCGTGGCGGCCAGCATCACGGGCTTCTTCTACCTCATCCCCATCCTCTTTGTCCTCACGCCCGACTTTTCCGAGCTGCTCGCCACCGCCGCCGGACAGCCCATCCCCGTCCTCTTCCACCTGGCCACGGGCAGCGCCGGCGGCGGCTTCGCGCTGACGTTCCTCATCCTCGGCGTCTTCGCCTTTGCCGGCATCGGGTCTCTGACGGTGGCGCTGCGGTGCACGTGGGCCTTTTCGCGCGACGGCGCCATCCCGGGCAGCCGGTGGTGGAGCCGGGTCAACAAGCAGCTCGACCTGCCCCTCAACGCCCTCATCCTCTCGACGGTCGTCATCTCGCTCCTCGGCCTCATCTACCTCGGCTCGACGGCGGCGTTTTCGGCCTTTACCGGCGTGGCCACCATCTGCCTCTCGATCTCGTACGGCATCCCCATCGCCATCTCCATGTTCCGCGGGCGTCGGGTGCTCCTCGACGCGCCCTACTCGCTCGGCCGCTTCGGCTACGCCATCAACGGCATCACGTTTGCCTGGATCGTGCTGGCCACCATCCTGTTTTGCATGCCCACCACCAAGCAGGTCACGGCGCCCACCATGAACTACGCCAGCGTCGTCTTCAGCTTCTTTTTCGTCTGCAGCGCAGCCTGGTGGGCGCTGTGGGGCCGCAGGTTCTACGTCGGACCCGTCGGCGCGTCCGAGATCGCCGCCGTACAGCCAAACGCCCTCTCGGCGGGGGCTGCGGCGGACGGAAGGACTGGCAGCGGCGGCGGCGTCGGCGTCGTCGTCGATGCCGAAAAGCCTCGGTCGTCGGATGGCGAGAGCGCCGGCCGCGAAAAGGAAAAGGATGCCGTCGGCGTCGCAGCGTAGCGTAGCGCCCCACGCCGGCGCCTCTGTTGGTTGGCGTCGACGACGGGAACAAGGACGAACCGCTGTGGCCCCCCTCTTCTCCTCGCGTCTCTTTTGTATCATGTAGCTTAACGACCCCACTTCTCGGAACGATCACGTCACGGCACGGTGCTGCGTGGGGAGGTTGGTGCGGGGCTGCGATTGAGTCGTGCGGCGTAGGGTTTTGGCCTACAGGCTACTGCTGCTGCTGCTGCTGTTGGTCGCCAAAGAGGATGGAACCGCGGTGGTTGAGCGTCGCAAAAGCAGGTCGCGAGTCGACGGCATCGATTGTCCTAGCCTCGGTCGTCGTCGAGGTTTGGGCGGGATCATGGTAGCAGTATGGTGCGGAAGGGGGAGAGGGAGGGTCAGCATGTCGTCGTGAAGGTCGACCGCGTGGTGGACAAATCGGACGTGTGTGAGGTAGGAGCGAGGCGGCAAGGCGGGGACGTACCGTTTTCGCATCTCGCTGGCCCACGAGACTTCCTTGAGCGGTTCGGCGGTGAGGGACACGCCGACGAGGAGGAGGAGGAGCGAGGCCAGCGTCTCGATTGTAATCTGGCCGTGTGGGGGGACCGCGGGCGGGTCGATGCGCGGGTTTGCGTGAGAGGGTCAGAGGGGACGCAGCATGGGATAGGACGAGGAACGGCGTGCAGTAGAGGGACTCACGTCGATGGGCATACCGTGTTCCGTCAACGTGCCGAGGTCGAGGGACTTCCGCAGCGATAGATCTGTCGTGTTGCGTGGCGGTCCGCAGCATCAAGGGCAGGAGGTGGGTAGGTAGGGACGGGCAGGGCAGGGCATACTGTCAGTCCGTCTGCTCCCGCCCTCATCGAGGTATCCACCAAACTCGAGAAAGGAAGGTGACCTCACGTTCGTAGGTCGAGTAGGCTGCATGGAGGAAGGTTACTGCATCATCGGTGAGCGCGCCGGGGCGGCGCGGAGCGGTGGAAGGAAGGGGGCCGCGTCAGTATGTACCCCCGTGCGATACCGAGCAGGGGCGAGCGGTGTCGGTGGGCGGCATCTCGAGGCGGGACGTACTCGTTCCCAGGACGAGGAGGAGTCGACCTGTGCTCGGCATCTTGATGTGTGTCGCGTGCGAATGGGGTGGTGGCTGTGTGAGTGGTGGTGGTGGGATGAGAGCCGGAAGACGAGGTTGCAAGCGGACGAGAAGATGGGAGCGAGCAAGCAAGCAGCCGCTGGGCTTGAGCTGCCTTGCCGGGCATCCGTGCGCGAGTCAAAAGCTACGGTCTCCTGCCCCCGCCCTGGCCACGCCGCCGTCTGGGCCAAGTCCAAATCCAGGGCGTCGCCTAACCCCACCCCTCTCTTCGACCACCACACCCTCTCTCGTCGAGCGACCCTCGTCAACGCTCCGCACAGTCGACGCCCGGTCGACCAGAGAAATCGACACCGATTGCGATTCTCCTTCTCCTTCGGCTGCCACAGTCGCAGATCCAGAGTGTGGTGCCGATGCCGCCGCCGACGCCGCCGCCGACGCTGCCGCTCGTCTACTCGTTGCTGTCCTCCCTGACCTCGTCCATCCTAGGCACGTTGCCCGTCCTCCTGCCCAGCCTCCTCGCCATGCGCACGCACGCCTCCCGCACACTGACCACCGTCTCCCTGCTCCACCCGGCGCGCATGGCGCCACGGAGGTGCCACAGGATCTCGTTGCGCGTGTTCTGCGCCACGAGGGCCGCGAGGACGACGAGCTCCGTCGACTTGAAGTCGAGCACGCGGTACTCTGCCAGGTTCCAGCCGTAGTTGATCTGCAGCGTGAGGAACTTGAGGTCCTCCATGTCGTCGCCCATCTTCCCATCGATGATGGGGGAAAGGTTGTGCTGGTACACGCTGCCGAGGGCGTCGTAGGCGCGCGGTCCGAGCGACGAGAGCGTCGAGGATTCGAGCGGCCGTCGCGGCGCCGAGGTGGCCGTGGGGAGCAGGTGCGAAGGATGGTGCTCCCGTAGGTGCGACAGCAGCGGGAAGACGGTATCGAGCGATGCGGCGATGCCGTACAGCACCGTCCCCTTGACGAGCGTCTCTTGGATGCGGCTGTGGATGCGCTGGCAGCGCTCTGCTTCCGGCTCTCCAGGCTTTTGCGGCGCCAGCTGGCACGCGAGCTCGTAGATGGTCACGATCGACGAGGCTCCAAAGTGGCACGAGGCCGCCGTCGCCGTCAGGATGGTGCTGCAGAGGCAAACAAGACCGGAAAGACCATCGATCAGCCTCTTGGTGCTGCTGTACCTGACCCCTGCACTCATCGACGACGCGGCCAACGAGACACTTACTACCATTCATCGTCTCTCAGCTCCGCAGCCAGCGCATCGCGGAACGCCAGCACCTCGTCCCTGTTCAGTTCCGCAATCGGCGGATCAGCATCTGCGTCGCTCATTGTTTCGAGGCTCGAGGGACCGTCCCTGGAGGCGGTGAAGCGGCTCGCCTTGGGAGCGGTGGTGTAGGCTCGGCCTGTGCGCAGCGGTATCTCTGGTTGTCGGTTCCTGAACGACGGGCTGCGAGCGGAGACGTGTCGAAGGGCGGATGGAAGCGGTGGAAGGGAGCGGATGGAGGGCCGCAGCATGACTCTGAGGGGATCAGGCTAGTAGGTGGTTGCAAACAGGCAAGCAGAGGCGGATTTGCCTCGACCCCTGATGCACTCGACTCGATGTGGTCCGGGAGCAGGGCGGCCGGGTGGAGGTGCTGGTGGCTCAGAGGCAACCAAGCATGGCAAGGCCTGACCTCCTGACCGCCTGACCGTCTGCCCGCCTGCCCGCCCGCCTGGCCGCAGCAACCACGACAATCTGCTGAGCCACGGATAGCTCACCTCATGGGGCCAGATCATCAGCTGTCCCTCGACGAATCCTCACTCTCTAAACCAAACTGACTGCAGAGCTTACGATCACCTTGCGTTGGCTTCGGAACGGTACAAATACAATGCGCCTCTCGGTCGGAACCCCGCGCCACAAGGGCACCATCCCCCTTCCGGGTCCTCGTCAACTCCCGCCCTTCACTCAAAAGCCAGCTTCCTCGCGAGCCGCTTGCGCTCCTCGATCTCGGCCTCGTCCAGCTTCCTCTTCTGGCCCTTGCCAGCACCGCCGGCTCCGGCAGACTTGCGCTGCTTGGCGCGCATCGTGTTCTTCTCCTTGCTGTCCGACAGAAGCGGGTGGTTGGCCGGATCTTCGGGATCAAACGCCTTGGTCGGATGCCTCGGCAGCATCTTGAACGGCGTCGGGGCGGGCGCAGTGCGGAAGTAGGCGTGGTGCAGCGACTGTCGTGGCACGAGATGAGTGGACAGGCGGGCACCTTTCCGAAACTCGTCAGTAGCCAACACCGGCTCGCCACGAAGCACTCGGGCTAGTCAGAAGCGTTGCTGATGCTCACCTGATTCGCCGTCAGCCGCTTGAGCGGGTCATACAGGAGGCACTTTTGCAGAAAGTCGAGCGCCTCGGAGCTGGCTGCGCTAAAGAGCTCGCCCAGCGGCTGCTTGGGGAATCGCTCAAACTGGACAAAGTCGGGCAGCGTCTTGTAGTTCTGCAAAACAGGGAAGCATAATCCCCACAGTCCGATGGAGACGATTCCGCCAGGCAGGAGGTCAGCCACGCACTCGTCGAGGGGATGTCGCGCTGTCGATCCGCGGGCAAAGAGACGTACCGGCCAGTCCCTCTCGGTCGGTGTGCCCAGTGCGCGGAAGATGGTGGTGAGCTGCTCGAGGTCGGATTCGCCAGGAAGGTAGGGCGTGCGCAGCATGAGCTCCGCAAAGATGCACCCGACGCTCCACATGTCGACCGAGGCCGAGTAGGCGCGCGAGCCCAGCAGCAGCTCGGGCGGACGGTACCAGCGAGTGATGACCTGGTTCGTCATCCTCGAGCCCGGATCGCCAAACTCTCGGGCCAGACCGAAATCGGCAATCTTGAGCTCGCCTTCGGGCGAGATGAGCAAGTTGTTCGGCTTCAGATCCTGTGTAGCGCCGGGAGCGTCGAGGTGGCAGCAAGGGCGGGTCAGTCGTGTCGACGCCAGGTATGCGCACGCAGGTGCCAATGGCTCGGCGACTCACGCGGTGCAGCACCCAGTTGCGATGGCAGTACTCGAGGCCACGACATAGCATCGCCATCCAGCTCTTGACGTCGGCCGAGGTGAAGATGAGCCCGCGGTCCTTGATAAGTGCCTCGAGGTTGGTGTCGAGGAACTCGAGCACGAGGTTGAGCGAGGGCGTGACGGAGCCCGACGAGAAGACGTCGATCATCTGTGCGGCGCGGGGAGCTCCAGGGTCAAGCTCTGGTCAGTCCCACCTCCGGCAAGGCGGCCTGGCCTTGGCACCTTTGCACTCGACTCTACTCACGAGGATGACATTGGGATGCTGGAGCTCCTTGAGGAACTTGACCTCGCGGATGGCGGTGACGTCCATGCCGTTTGCATTGTTGACAATCTTGATCTTCTTGATGGCCACCTTGCGGCCGGTCTTTGTGTTTTTGGCGAGGAAGACCGAGGCGTAGGTACCTTCGCCGACCTTTTCGATCTTGGCGTAGAGGTTGCGGATGGCGAGGTTCTTGGCCGACGCCGAGTCCATGGTGGGCTGAGCGTGCCTGGCGACCAGCTTTCGAGTAGGTAGACGTGGCGATGTTTTGGTGAAGCTGCTCGGGAGAAGAGGTGGTCGGCGAGAACGAGAGGCAAGAAGGGTGGTAGGCCGTGGGGGGGGGCTGGCCAGCCCAACCCGAGGTGGAGAAGCTCGAGGCGAGCCGCCCCCGATCGACTCTGTTTTGTCCGCCCCGATGGCATAGTTGCGGGTGGTGGATGGACCCTGGCTGGCCAGACAGACAGCACAGACCGCCTGCAGGCCATCGGCATCAACGCCGCTGACTCTCTCGCGCCGGCTGGCCGCCTGCCTGCCTGCCACTCCCTCTGCGGTGGCTGTGCGGGTGCAAAGCGCCGCCGGCCGCGCAGAGCAACAGAGAAACCAACACCACCGCTTGCCAGGCCATCCACAACCGGCACGCGCAACAAGCTTCCCCAGCGTCGACCACCATCCACACTCGTGCCAGGCACCCTACCTCTTACCCCTCTACTCCCTCCTTCGCCTACCTGCCTCATCAACACCATGGCGCTGCCGTCCACCATCTCCACCGCCCAGGCCCTCGTCGGCGAGGGTCTGCCTGCAACCCTCATCACCCAGGCCTCGGATGCCCACCCAAAGCCCCAGGGACACAAGTTCACCTACGGCACCGCAGGCCTCCGGACAAAGTGGGTGTCTTTGATGCGACTCCGTGCGTGCCCAGAGCCAGAGTGACGACAGACTGCTGAACTCATCCTGCCCCGACCTTTGGACTGCCGCGCGCTCAGAGCCGACACGCTGGACAGCACCTGCTTCCGCGTCGGCCTGATCGGCGCGCTCCGCAGCAAGAAGCTCGGCGGAAAGACGATCGGCCTCATGGTCACCGCCAGCCACAACCCCGTCGAGGACAACGGCGTGAAGATGGTCGATCCCCGCGGCGAGATGCTCGAGTCGTCCTGGGAGCCCTTCTGCACCGCCATCGCCAACGCCGAGACGTCCGACGAGCTCGTGGCCTCGCTCGAGAAGCTCGTGGCCCACTTCAAGGTCGACCTCTCGGCCCCGGCCTCGGTCGTCGTCGGCTACGACACCCGCCCTTCTTGCCAGACGCTGGTCAAGGCCATCATCGACGGACTCTCGGCCATGGGTGCGCAAACCATCGATGCCGGCCTCAAGACGACGCCGCAGCTCCACTACCTCGTCAAGTGCCTCAACACCCAGGGCACCGATGAGGCCTACGGCGAGCCCACCGAGGAAGGCTACTACAAGAAGCTCGCCAACGCCTACATCAAGCTGGTCGTAAGTTGTCCTGGCGGTGCCGCGTGACCGGCGCGGAGGCTGCCTTTGCAGGGATTCCCGCCAACTGACCTTGGCCGTCCGCTGTTCCATCCCGCTCGCTTGCCCGGCCCGATCGGATGCGTCAGTCTGGCAAGGGAGAGAGCGCCCCTCTGACAGTCGACTGCGCCAACGGCGTCGGAGCTCCGGCCCTGCTGAACCTGACCAAGTACATCCCCGCCGAGCACCTGTCTGTGCGTGCCCTGAGGACGGCCACCTCTTCGCCCAACGAGCTCAACCACGGCTGCGGCGCCGACTTTGTCAAGACCAACCAGTGCCTGCCTGCCGGCTACGACAAGGAGGATGTCAAGGCGGGCGAGCGGATGTGCTCGTTTGATGGCGATGCAGACCGCATCGTGTTCTACTACCTCAAGGGCCCTGCGGGCGCCAAGGAGAGCTTCCGGCTGCTGGACGGCGACAAGATTGCGAGCCTTGCGGCCGACTACCTGAGCGAGCTGGTCAAGGTGGCGGGCATCGACCTGGAGCTGGGGTGCGTGCAGACGGCCTACGCCAACGGCAGCTCGACCAAGTACCTCAAGCAGCGGGTGCCGGTGACGTGCACGCCGACGGGCGTCAAGCACCTGCACCACGCGGCCGAGTCGTACGACATTGGCGTCTACTTTGAGGCCAACGGCCACGGCACGATCCTCTTTTCAGCGTCTGCGCAGCGCAAGATCCGCGAGGCGTCTCCGGGATCGCCGGCGGCGCAGGGAGCGCTCGAGCAGCTGAGCGCGCTGGTGGACCTGATCAACCAGACGGTGGGCGACGCGCTCTCGGACATGCTGCTGGTCGAGGTGATCCTGCGAGCGCGGCAGTGGGGTCCCGAGGAGTGGGACGGCGCGTACGAGGACCTGCCCAACAAGATCCTCAAAGTCAACGTCAAGGACCGCTTCCTGTTCAAGACCGAGGACGCCGAGAGGCGGCTGACGAGCCCCGCCGGTCTGCAGGACAAGATCGACGAGGTGGTGGGCAAGTACAAGGACGCACGCAGCTTTGTGCGCCCGAGCGGCACCGAGGACTGCGTGCGGGTGTACGCCGAGTGCGCGATTGCGAGCGAGCTGACGCCGCTGGCGACGAGCGTATCGAAGCTGGTTGCCGAGTACGCCTAGGCGGGCGGGCGAATGGGGGGCATTGTAGATAGAGAGAGCGCAGCTGGCGATAGACATCGATGCGTCGAGCAGAGAGATTGGCGGAACGAAAGACGATGTACCATCCATCACCCATCGAGCCCAGGACCAAATCGCGGCGGGCGGGCGAGCGGGCGGTCGAGCGGGCGGGCGGCCAAGGGTCTGGGTCGGTGTGGAGGTCGGGTGGGGGTTGGGTTTCACGTTCGACCGGTCGCCTCGACGGGCGCCCGTGCCGAGCATCAGTGCAGGCTCAACAGGGAGCGGTCCGGCCTCCAAGGAGGGGAATGCTCGAGGCGAACGACATGGTGATGGGGGCGAATGAGAGTTCGTGTGCGGAGAAGAGGATCACGGTGCGGGCAAGACGAGGGGGGGTGAGAACAGACGGGCCGGCTGGCTGCCCCGCCCCGCCTTTCGGCCCTGGACGGGTGCATCGGCTGAAAAGAGGGACCGGTAGAGCCGTAAGGCGGGCGCGCGACGACAACACCGCCGGCAGGCCTGCTGGTCTGGCGGCACCGCGTCAGAGAGAGAGGAGAGGTGGCCACGACCTGCCAGCCGGCTTCTTCGTTCTGGCTGTCGGCCCGCTCGACCTCGATTGGTCACATCCTAGCCTCTTGCCCGCTGGCTACCTACCCCGCAATTCGACATCCACCGCCATCGCCTCGTCTGCCTCCCAACACCTCTATCGCAACCAGCCTGGCGTTGTCCCGCCTCAATCATTCGCATCGTATTCGCCGCGATCGTATCCGTATCTCAAGCTGTGTCAATCGGACCGCTCCCGAACCTCGCATCGCGAATCGGCCTGGTCCGACGATCGCCTGGCCACGCAGCGGGCGCCCACCCGCTCAGCAAGCCGCCAGCGCTACCTCACCAGCAGCAACCTACGCCACTGCCCGGATGCATTGTCGTTTCTTCGGATCTACCGCCCCCGTCTGTCTCGTCGTCTGCTCTTCCAACCCGGCCACCGGTCTCTCATCCCACGTTAGCCTCTACTGCAAGCCCTGACGACCGTCTCAAGTCTCGACTCGTCGCTTTCTCCCCCCGGCGCCTCGCACCTCACGTCCGCAATGCCGCGGCCCGCACATCCGCCCCTGTGCGAGACCGACACCGCCGCCTCGGACCCCTCTGCGCCATCCCTCTCATCGCCCCTGCCGCAGTCGTCGCCCGACCTCAAGGGGAAAGCTCGCGCCCTCGACACCGACCATGGCCCCTCTTTATCCAGCTCCGCCGCCGCCCTCTCGGCACATGCCGGGTCAAACTCGCCCATCGCCGGAGCCGCGCACTCGGCTTCCGCCGCCGTCTCGGCAGCCATGGAGGCCCGCCTTGGCAGCACCTCGGACAAGACCAGCTGGAACTATGTCGTGCGCAGCGGCCTCGCCGGCGGCGTAGCCGGGTGTGTGGTGAGTGCGCAGGCGCGTGGGCCACCGCCACCGCCACCGCCTTCGATAGGGCCCGACCTTGTCCCGACGTGATGCTGATTCTTGGTTTCCATGCCCTGTCCTGCCCTGCGCTGTCCATCCCTGCCGCTCCGCTCGCTGACCGCCTGCGACGGCATCGCCAATAGGCAAAGTCGGCCATTGCACCTCTAGACCGGGTCAAGATCCTCTTTCAGGCGCAGAATCCAGAGTTCCAGAAGTACAGCGGTGAGTCAAGGCGGCCGCCCGCCCGCCGCCGATCGACTGAAGCTCCCCCCGGCTGATTGCCTCGCTCCCCCGGACCCCTCTCGACGTGCTCAACCGCGATCAGGTCGATGGCTGGGCGTCTTCACAGCCGCGGGCGACATTGTGCGCTCTCAGGGACCCATGGCCCTTTTCCAGGGCCACTCTGCCACCCTGATGCGCATCTTTCCCTACGCCGCCATCAAGTACATGGCCTACGACAAGCTCCACTTCTACTTTATGCCAACAAAGGAGGCCGAGACGTCGGCGCGCCTCTTTGCCGCAGGCGCCATGTCGGGCGTCCTCTCGGTGTTTATGACCTACCCGCTCGAGCTGATCCGCGTCCGGTTGGCCTTTGAGACGAAGCGCAAGAGCAGCAAGGGAAGCCTGCGCCAGACGATCCGCAAGATTTACACCGAGGGCAGCACCGAAGCGCCCTTCAGCGGCGATGCGAGGCGGAGAGCGGCCCGGGCGGTTGCAGCCAGTGCAGCCGCTTCTGCTTCTGCTGCTGCTGCTGCTGCTGGGTCGGCGACTGCACCAGCGACATCGTCGGGCCTGGGGAAAACAGCAACGGGGGCGGCCTCTTCGATGCAGAGCGCCTTCCACGCCGGCGGCGACCCGCATGTCCCTTCGTCGTCGGTGCCGGCAGGGAACCGGCTGCTCTCACGCTTCCCACTGCTCAAGTTCTACCGCGGGTTCAGCGTGACGGTGCTGGGCATGGTGCCCTACGCCGGTACGTCGTTCCTCGTGTTTGGGCGGTGCAAGACGACGCTGCAGCGCCTCTTTCCCCCGTCGGAGCCGGACTCGTCGGTGTCGGGATCGAGGCGGCGCTGGTTCTGGCCGAGCAAGACGGTCGTCGACCTCTCGGCGGGCGCGCTGGCGGGCGCCATCAGCCAGACGGCGGCCTACCCGTTCGAGGTGATCCGACGGCGGCAGCAGGTGGGCGGCATCATCCGGCCGGGCGCCATGCTCGGCATGCGCGAGACGGCCGTCTGGATCTGGCGGACGAGCGGGTGGAGAGGCTTCTACGTCGGCCTCAGCATCGGATTCCTCAAGGTCGTCCCCATGACGAGCATCAGGTGAGTCGTCGCTCCCTCCCCACTCCCCCCACACCCGCGCCCTCGTAGATGCCTCGCCCGTGGCACCTTGCTCACCGTGCGACCCCCTTCCTCGTATCGCTCGATCCAAACAGCTTTGCCGTCTGGCTCGGCATGAAGAGGCAGATGGGCATCTAGGCCCCTGTCGGGCCCGTTTCTGCGAGGTTCTCGGAGCGAGGTCGGCCAGGACGTCTGGCCTTGGCCCGGCCCGGCCCGTCATCGGAAAGGCAGCATCAATAGACGCTTTGTATGCGCAGCACATAGAGAGACGACCATCGCGGCGACGGAACACGCGCGATTTGTACGATGCGCACGACCAGACCGAGGAGGCCAGCCAGCGCCACGAACGCCGCGAGGCGCCGATGCGGATGCAGAGCGTCGGTGCGGTTGAGGATGCATTCCGCCGCGTGTCGATCCATGGTTTGGCAATGCACGGTAAGTTGTCGCTGCCCTTGCAGAGCAGAGACGTCGAGCCGACCCTGGCCCGGCACGCGCCGTCTCGCTCGTCCTGGACGTCTCGGGTCTCATACGCCATAGGGAATGACGCGGGAAAAGTGGAAGGGCTTCGAGTGCTTTTGCGGCAACGCGAGCACCTCGCCGTTGGAGAGGTTGACCCTGTTGGCCCGGGGACGTGCGCACAAGGGGAGGAAAGGGGGAAATGGCGTCAGCAAACGAGGTGATGGGACGGAAGTTTCTCGATGCCTGAGCGATGCTCCGCGTTGGTGGTTCCACGTTTCTTTTCTGTGGATCGAGGAGGCGGGCGGGCCGGGCCGTGACGAGGAGAGGGGCTGGGGCGACTCACGAAAAGTATTCGAGCAGTTCGAGCTTGTTCCACTTGCCCCGTCCCGTCTGGCGCAGGGCAAAGACCATGCGAAAGGCGTACTTGTGCATCGTCGGGTCTCGCAGGTCCTCGACCGTGACTTTGGGTCCGCGCGGCCGGCCCTCCCACTCATCGTCGTCGAGCCCGTCCGGAAAGAGCTCCCACCGTCCCCTGGCGAAACCCTTGGCCTTGAGGCCCGGTTCGAGTTTGCGCACCGTCTCCGAGGGTGGTTCGGTGGTGAGGAGCGAGAGGCACCGGCCGTCCGGGAGGAAGCGGATGGAGCGGTAGAATTCGACGACGTGCACCACCCGGATCCACACCGACTCTTCCGACATGCCCGGCCGCGCGTAGTGGCATGCGGCAATGTAGCACCCATTCAGCCGGACGCGCGGCTGGTTGACAAAGACGGTGCGCCAGTCGTGGTGGTGCTGCGCGTACAGCGCCTCGAGCGGCACCGCCGCCGTGTCGAGGATGGGCGGGTAGTACGTCTCGCGCACCACTTCCTTCCACAGCGTCGGCGAGCGCGTCAGCAGCCGCAGCTTCCAGCAAGTCCGCCCGATGAGCTCGAGCGCTTGCCAGTCTGCGCCGCCCAAGACGATGCCGATACCCAAGTGCCGCCGCGATGGCGCCGCCGGCTTGTCGACGCTGGATTCCGTCGCCTCGCCGGAGGCCGTCGCCGTCGCCGTCGCCGCCGCTGGGCCCGACGCCGCTTCGGATGCGGTGCTCTTGCTTGCCGGATTGGCTGCAGCCGGGTTGGTCAACTTGCCCGCCTGTCGATCAAGCTTGGACGCAGCCCCGGCGGCCCGAGCCTGCTGCGCCGCCAGCTCGTCCGTGGTCGGCGGTTTGGGCTTGGCAATCTTTGCGCCCCGACGGCCGCGCGGCGCAATCACCATCCGCAGGACGTGCAGCAGGATCTCGTCTGGCAGGCGCGACAGGAGCACCTCCTTCTCCTCGTCCTCGGGCACAAAGTCGATCTGCGAAAAGTCTCGCTCGCCGCCGCCCTGGATCGTGAGCTTGCCGAACAGCTTGGCCAGCTGGTCGGGTGGGCTGGTCTTGGCGCCCGCCCCTGGTCCCGCCGCCGAGCTGGCGGGTACCGTCGACGTTTCGTCGGCCCGGCTGATTTCCGTGTACGTCTCGCCGCGCTCCTTTGCCTGCGCCTCGCGCACCTTGCGTTCCTGGATCGCCAGGAAGCGGTGGTCGTCGATGTCGAGCGCCCGCCTCACCTTCTCGGCCACGTCTGGAGACGAGAGGAGCGCATCGCTTTGCTGGGGCGCCACGTCCGGGTCTGAGATGAGCAGCTGCGCCCGGTGGTAGAGCCGGTCGGCGTTGCTGTTGAGCTTGAATGCGCGGCGGTACGACACGAGCGCCTCGTCGAGCTGGCCGCCGCGCTCCATCTCGACGGCACGAGCGTAGGTCTCGACAGCCGACCTGATCGACGACTGGATGCTCTCGTTGGCCTGGGAAGGAGGAGGCTGCGACGTCGAGGGCCCTGCGTCGGGGTCGAGCTCGATGATGCGTCCGCCGGTGATGGTGGCCTTTGGTCTGAGCGGCCGAGACGAGCCGCTCGAGGTGCTGAATGGGATCGCTGACGTGGCGATCTGATCCTTGAGCCGGGAACGCTCAGGCGATGTCGACTTTGTGTGAGTCGCATTGGCAGTGGCAGTGGAGCCATTGGCCGGCGTTGCATCTACATTGGTGCCAATCGTCGAAGTCGACGAGGCCCGAGCCTCGTCGGTCATGGGAGCCGATGTACGCGGCTGTCTCGGTGGCGGTAGCTTGTGTGCGCCCTTTGAGTACTTGAGCGCGGCTGGGCCGTAGATTTCCGCCTCTGGGATCGGTATCGAGTTGGCGAGAAGCTCGTCCTCGATGCCTACCCCAGCGTCGTCGGCCTGAGCCCCTTGGTCTGACTCGGGATCTGCCCCTTCCGCACCGTCAAGAGAAGAGGCGCCAGCTTCGGCCCGGTCAGCTTTTCGATGGCCGTCTTGGCTTGCAGCGGTGCCTGGATGCTGGCTGGAGGCAGTGGGTGCGGGTGTGGCTGTGGCTGTCGAAGACGATGGCTGACCCCTGGACTGGACCTCGCGCTGCCACTCGCGGCGAAAGCGCTCGAGCTCGGCATTGTCGGCGGCGATCTTGGTAGCTGGCGTCTGTGCGCCGCTGCTGACGGTGTCTTCGAGCGCCGGGTCATCGTCGATGTCGTCGGCGAGGGTCGAGTCGTCGACGACGTCGGCGGGTCGTGGTTCGGGCTCGGTGGACGGGGCTGCTGGGTTGTCGTCGTCGGTGCGGTGGGGAGTATGGTTTGGGCGAGACGACGAGTAGCGTGGAGGTTTTCCGCGTGTTGTGTCCATGGTGGCACGGTGTGGTGCGCTGCGCTTGGGAGCAATGCGATGCGGTGGGTTGGAAGGAAGTGGTGGTTGTCGAGGGTTGAAGGTTGAGTGAGGCTGACCTGTGGTACCTCCGACAGCGGCCCCTCGCCTCCACATCCTCGTCCCGCCGACGCCCGGCACGTTTGCATCTTCCGGCCGGTTGGTTCCTCGTGGCCTCACCTACCGACTCGTCCCCGACTCGCTGCATCTACTTCACCGCCATCATCACAGACCAGCTACAGCTACAGCTCTAGCGCTCGGCGCAACAGAGCAGTACAGGGTCGAAAGGGCAATAACGTGCCCAAGAGGCAAGCATCACCCACTGAATCTCGATCCAGCTCAGAGCCTCGCCCGAGCACCTCGTCACCTGCGCTACCCCTCTTCTGATCCACCCTCCCTCTCCTGCAGCGACAACGAAGGAGCTCTATGCTGACTTGGCACGACTGCCTGCCTGAGTCCCGCCTCGGATTCACAAAGAAGCTCTCGTGGGACCGCGGGCGAAACGTTTCTTTCTTTTCAGTCCTTGAGCCGATTCGCCACGCGTCGCGGTCCGCACCGCGCCCTTGCCAGTGTGGCGGACCGCAGACCGAGCCTCGACCGATGTCAAAGAGCTACTTCTCTACCTGGTCCGTCTTACCCATCCACTCCGACTGAACCAGACCGAGCGCATACATGCTGCTATCGCCGACTGTCGCCCCAAGGACGAGGGCCTCGTGCCGCCACCGCTGTGTTGTCTTCGTCCCCTTCGGTATCGTCTCGGTCTCGGTGTGCTGTCAAGTCCCTTCACAGTGTCAAAACGAAAAAAGAGGTCCTGCTTCGGTCCGGTCCCAAACCTGCTTGAGAGCTTCACCTTGCTCGTCCGCGCATCTCGCGATGAACCTTCTCTGGCCTTGGTAGCTCGGCCCCTTCCCGTCGCCGCGTGGGAAGAGAGGGATCCCAGAGCTTCCCAGGGTGGGGTGTGTTTGTTGACCGCCTTGCTGGGCGTCGACGGAAAACCATATAAGTTGCCCTTGTCCAGTCATCGTTGCCCCTCCGCCTCCTCCATCTGGATCCGTAAGCGCCTCTCCTCTTTATCCTTCTTCTACTCCTTCTCCTCCCGTGACGACCAGCGCTCCACCGCCACCGACACAACCTCTACGCATCCACTCGTCTCCGCGACCGTAACAACCGCCTACTCTTGAGGCTTATCCCCATCCCCCCGAGGCTAAGTTCGTGGAGTGGTAATCCCTCAGACTATGCAGCGTACACCCAGACCCCAGGAGAAGCAACGCAGGAACGCGCCGGAACACACGCTTTGGCAGTCAAGAACATGGAGGTATATGCTGGGAGACTTCGTGAAGATTTCCGTGCGTTTGTTTCGTGAGGGCGGAGGGGGAGAGGGAAATGACTCGTGGAACCCTTGTCTAGACGTACAGAAGATGCGCGAGGAAAACGTAAATCGTTGGGACGATCGCCGTGCAGCCCCGAGGTAACAAAAGAGAAGAAGAGAGAAGCGGGGTGTAGGAGGGGGTGTAGGGGGCGAAGCGTGAACCGGTCGTTTTGGGGATATCAAAGGAGAACAGGAGACATGAGATGCGTGGCACCGAGATGCGCAAAGATGGCGTCGAGGAAGAAGGCGGTCAAGACCCTGACAGTCGAGGCCGCGCGTGGCCAAGAGCGGCGACGCTTAGTACTTCTTCTCGTCGGCGGTGGCGTCCTCGTCGTCCTTGGGGTGGGCGACGCCGCCCTCGAGGTCGGTGCGGCGGGCGATGATCTCGCGGTTGGCAGCGGCCGACTGCCTGGGGGTGGTCTGGGCGTAGAGCTCGTCGACCTCCTCGAGCGAGAGACCCTTGGACTCAACGACGAAGAGGTAGCCGAAGAGGGCGGCGCAAGAGCAGGTGGCACCCCAGATGAAGAAGACCTTGGGGCCAAGGCCAGCCTTGCCGGGGCCCGACTGGACGAGGTAGGGGGTGGCGTAGCCAATGCCGAAGTTCCAGAGCCAGTTGGAGGCGACGCAGAGCGAGAGAGCCTTGGCGCGGATGGCGAGCGGGAAGATCTCACCGCAGACGACCCAGGCGGCGGGGCCCCAGGTGGAGGCGAAGCCCGAGATGTAGATGCAGACGAAGGCGACCATGGCCTTGCCGGCGGCCGAGTTGAGGCGGGTGTCGATGGTGGTTCCGACGATGGCGACGATGAACTCGCAGACGGCCATGTAGACGGCACCCCAGATCAGGAGCTTCCTGCGGCCGAAGCGCTCCATGGCCCACATGCCGGGCAGGGTGCAGACGACGTTGACGACGTTGGAGATGATCGAGAAGATGAAGGGGTTGGTGCCGGGCAGGGCGTTCGAGAAGAAGACGGTGCCGTAGTAGAAGATGAAGTTGACACCGGTGAGCTGCTGCCAGGCCTGGAGCCAGATGCCCGTCATCGAGCGGAGGAGGTACTTTCGGTCGTTGGCCTTGAAGCAGTCGACGTAGGTGCCGTTGCCGTGGGTGAGCTCAATGTCGAGGTTGGTCTGGATGACGCTGAGCTCGCTGCGGACCAGCGGGTCGTCGGAGTCGGTCGAGTTGAGGCGGGCGAGCGACTTGGCGGCACCGGCGTGGTTGCCGCGCTTGACGAGCCAGCGGGGCGACTCGGGGAGGACGATGAACATGGCCGAGAGGATGAGCGAGAAGACGAGCTGGATGCCGACGGGGATGCGCCACGAGCTCGAGTTGGTGCGGTCCTTGGTGCCGTTGTTGGCGAGCGAGGCGATGAAGAGACCGATGGTGATGGCCCACTGGTAGCCCGAGACGACGGTACCACGGATCCAGCGGGGGGCGACCTCGGACTGGTACATGGGGACGATGGTCGAGAGGATACCGACACCGAGACCGGCAACGACACGGCCAACAATGAAGGCGTCGAGGTTGGTGGTGGCGAGCTGGAGGACGACACCGATGTTGAAGATGATCAGGCCGACCTGCAGACCGAGCTTGCGTCCGAGCTTGTCCGAGAGCGGGGCACCGAGCAGGGCACCGCAGAAGGTACCGGCGGACAGGATCGAGGTCACGAGCGAGGTGTTGCCCGTCGACAGGTCGTAACCGGGAACGGGGACACTGCCGGTGTTCGAGGGCTTGTTGACCGGGTAGAACTGACCGAAGGTCTCACGGAAGTTCTCCATGGCCAGCAGGCCGGAGATGGTACCCGTGTCATAACCGTAGAGGATACCACCGAAGGCCGAAGCGGCGGCGACGGCAATGGCAGGGATCGACTGCTTGACCGTGGCCGGCTTGGCAACAGGGCCAGCAGCGGCAAAGGTGTCGGCGACGACACCAGCGGGCATGATGAAGGAGGGGTGGCTACGAGGAGGAAGGGCGGCCTAGGATGGGAGAAGGGAGAAGAGAAGGAAAGAGGCCGGGGAGAGGGCTCTTGAGGTGTGTGCGGATGAGGGAAGAGCGGGGAAGGTGGGGAGCGAAGGCGAGGCCGTATTTGTAGACGACGAGATGCTGGCGCGCGAGGATGGGGATGGTTTGTTGCAACGGCTAGGCCAGGCCAGGCCAGGCCAGCCGACCAATCAAGCGAGCCAAGCGAGAAGAGAGAGAGCAGGCGACCTGCACCGCCGTCCCAGCGTCGCCGCCGCCGCCGTCCGCTCGCTCGAGGAGAACAAAGCCCGGGGAGCCACGGCGGCCAGGCAGAGCAGCAGGCAGGCTAACGTACGGTCGGGCTAGAAGGGGAATGGCCTGCTGTCGCCGCTGGTCCAGACCCCCAGCCGGGGAAAGCGGGTCCAGCCTGGGGCACCACACCGCCGCTCGGTCTGGCTCCCCGCGCCCCCCCGCCCCTCGCCAAATTTTTTTCCGCCTGACCGTCCGGCTTTGCCTCTGATCGTCTGCCCAGCCCAGGCAGGAAAACGAGGGGAGAGCAGGCAGAGCCAAGCCAGGCGGCCAGGAACATGCTGGGGTCCAGGCGGGGAAAGGGCCAGCCACGCGGTTTCATGCTTTGGCAGGGCTGCCCGCCAGGCATGAGGACAGAGGCACGCACGCCGCCAGGCGAGAAAGGTTCAACCAGCTGCAAAAAGCGGCAGGCCTTGGGTCTCAAAGCCCCGCGGGCGGCGGCGGCGGTCGAGAACTCGCAGGCAGCAACCGAGCGAGAAAGTTCGCTTCAGGTTCCGGCGTCGACTTAGGCGGCATGGCCACCAGGCAGCTGGGTGGTCAGCCTGCCTCAGAAATCCACCATGCGCGCTGCGCCTTTTCCCTTTCCAAAGGAAGGCGAGAAGAGCAGGCAGGCAGGAGGTCTTGATGAAGGTGCTCGGCTCGTCCTCCTCGCTGCCTTGGCGGGGACCACGCCGGCGAATCGGTCGTAGGTGTACGTACTCGGTGCTGCTGCTGCTGATGCTGGTGGTTTGCGCCCTGGCCATCACATCGCCCATCGCCGCTTGCTTGCCTGCGAACGCCCTCGACCAACACGAAACCGCGCTGCCTGGCGCCGTGTCGATGCTTCGTTGCTGTCCGTCCCGTTTGTTTACCTGCCTACAAGCCTTGCCAGGGCCTGTTGCTGTGCGTCGGGCTGTCGCGTCGCAGCGTTATGAAGCCTCTTGTGATGGTGACAGGCCGCTTCGGCGGTCGCCGAGGCCAGGCTTGCCCGCCCTCTTTCATCGTCGGGCGGCCCGGGTCCTTGGCCAAACGCCCATCTGAGACCCAATCATGGCATGGCTGGCCGCGGATCGGCTCACGCCTAGCCAAAGAAGCCGGTCACAGTAGACAAGCAAGCCGTCATCGCTCGTTGTCGCGTCCGCTGTGGGTGTTGCCGGCGCTGGAGCGATCGTAGGCCTGGCCGCCTCTTGCTGGTGGCCACGGAGTCGGGCAGCGTGGGCAGCGCGCTCCTCCTTGTCGCAACATGCGGGCCGAAAGCAAGGTAGGATGGCCTTCGCAACCCCAAAGACCTAACGCAAGCCACGCTCAGGCCATGCGAGGAAACTATCCCCCGCAAACATGGCAGGCGAGATGAGATCGCGGGGGCGGCCGCCTTGGCTCGTCGAGAGGATGGCCCGGCGTCGGGTGGAGGAGAGCAACGGCAAAGACCCACACACACATGCGGGTCGAAAAACGGTCGGTCACGGCTCGGAGTTCAGAGAGCGTCGGCCTAAGCACCAATCTGTACCGTTCTCGCTCATGCTTCGGCTCGGCCCGTCGAAGCCAACCTGCCTCTCTGCCCAAAAGGCGAAGCAAATCGGCCCTCATCAGGCAGGGATAGGCCCAGCCACTCAACGACTCTGCTACGGCTAGAGCACGAAGAGAGCTCGCCACAGATGGGTTGGTTGCGAGCTGACTCTGCTCGCCTCTGCGCAACTAGAGCTTCTCCTGACCAAAGCTGGGCGTAGCGACTTGCGGGCGGGCTGTCGGCCGGAGGCAGCGCCGGCGAATTTCGACGGCGAGTTTTCGCTGCCTGCCCGTCGTTTGCTTTCGAGCCTGAACGCTCTCTACCTGCCTCTCCCCGAGGAAGCAAGCTTGCTTCCTTCCTCCTTGCTCCCTGCTCCTGGCTGCTGCTGGTGCATATGCATCGTGGTGCCACGCGAGGCCTCAACTCGAAGCAGCGATCGAGCAAGCATGGCGAACAAACGACGAAACCTGAGCGCCACGCGCCACGCTCTGACGCTCATCGTTTCCGACCGACCAGCCAAGGCTCTCGTCCGGCATCGTCCCGATATCACATACCCATCGGCCTGGCCGAGACCGCCTAGGCAGGTGCGAGGACTTCCGTGGACAGCGACGGGGAGGCCCGCATCCACACCATATCTCGTCATCCGACTGAGGCAGTCATATGCTGACCACCCAGAGCAGGGGGCAAGCGTGGATGATGAAGCCAAAGGGATTGCGCGGATGGCCGCGGCCTTTCCACCCACACCTCGGTGGATTTTCGGTCCTCAAAGTTGGGAAAGTTTGCAAACCTCGGGACTAGCCCGACGCCGCGACGCAGGCTCTCAACCTGCGGCTGCACGACAATCGCCCGCTGCCCTCTGATCTGTGGCTGGCAAAAGGGAAAAATCTCTCCGAGATGGGCTGCAGCCTGCATGGACAGACAGAGATCCGCCGAACTTGCTCCTTTTCCTCCTGCGGGCTTGGCCTCCTTTTCGACCGAACCAGGCCGAGCAGCCAATCAGGTTGCGAGCAGCCCTCGCCAGGTCGATTGAGCCGAGGCAGGGTCTTTGTTCAGGCCTCCCCGCTCCCCTGGTTGCCCTGGGCCCTCGTGGTCTCTGACCCCGCCGAGACCGCAAGCCAGGCCAAGGGCAGGCGCCTTGTTCCGGTACAGGCAGGCGTGGTTGGGCGCGAAAGGGAAAATCGTAAGATTTGACTCCTCGTCAGCCAAGCCTGCCCGCTGCTCTTTGTGCCGGCGTCCCGATTCGCCGCCCCCCCGTGTCGTCGTGCATCCGCCTGGTTCGTTCGAGTTGCGCGGTACGTAGGTACGGCAATGAAGGGTCGCCGCCCGTCTTTCTCCTCCTCTGCGGCGACTGAGCACCCGGGACCCAGCTTGACCGGCTGCCTGTCCAATCGAAGTTCAGTACGAGCTGCGCGACGGACCTTTGCCTGCCGCCTGGCTGACCTCGAATGCGGACGTGGCAAACCCTCCGAGAAGCAGGGTTCGAAGCGGCGGACATGGAGCGGAAGCTGAGCTGCTGGCTCGACGTCTGTCTGGCCTGGCCACGCAAAACGACGATCGACCGGCCGCACGCGGCGCCGCCCTGCGTCTTGAATTTTTTTTTCTGCGACACGGCGCGCGGGGACCCTACCTGCTTGGCTCAGGTCACGCCCCCCTTCCCTTGCCTACAGGTGGCGACCAATCGCGAGCTCACAGCGCTTCAGGAACAGCCGTCGATCCGCCTGACAGTTCGAGCTTCTCGTCGTGCGATCCCTCCAACCGCAAGACCGATGCCACGGCGCTGTGCGGCCCAAGGCCAGGCGAGGGACAGGGACACCAGGGGCAAGCCGTCAAGTCCGAGACGGTCGAGAGAGAGAACCTGCAGGCCAACCCGATCGTGCGAGACATCAAACGCCTGCCATCGTCGATGTTGATGTTCTCGTCCTGGATCGCAGGATCCGGTCTGCTTGCCTACGGCCGGCGTTGTGGGCTCTTCCTCATCTTGATTCGACGCCGGCGATACCGGTTGCAACGACGGTGGCGGCGTAACGCCGTCTCTCTGAAGACCAACCCCTGGCGCTACGGCAGAGGGTCTACGGTCCGGCGGTGCCTGGCATGACTTCTCGCAGCCATCTGCTTCGTTGATGGAGCTGTGGCAACAAATCGGGCCGAGGATCGTCCGCCTGACGTGGCGGTCGCTCTGTTCCAAGCACGCGTGCCAGGCCTGGCCAGACTTTTTCGGCTGGTCGTCCGTTTTTGGCAGGCATGGAGAAAGAGCAGCGACCATGGCCGCGATCCGACCTTTTCTCCTTCCCTAGTCGCGGAGCACATGCAAGCCACGAGGCCGGCCGGCCGGCTGGATGGCTCGCTCGCTCGGCGCAACACAAGACTTTCTGCGACGGCGTCGTCGTTGGGCGAGAGGCACAAAGCCCCCAGAGACATACGCCGGATCCTGCCCTCGCTTCCATGCCTTGGCCAGCCGACCCAGGGGAGCGGCAAGGGCAGAGCCCTGTGGAGATGGTGTAGGCGAGCGACCTTAGCTCACCTGCCATTCTTGAAGAGGACATTGACGGGCAACGTACGGTACCTGCCTGAGGGAGGCACAAGGTCGTACACTGTATCCCCGCCACTCCATATCCGGTACGAGACGGAACGGAGGAGCGCGACCGAGTCACCCTGGCAGCTTGCTCTCGCGTCGCGGAGCGCAAGGCTCCTACCGATACTGGCATGGTGATCCTGGGTCGTTGGCGTACTTGCTTGCGGCGTGGATCGAACGAGTCCGCCGCCGTAGTTCGGCCGGTGGCTGGTGGCGTTGTTGGGGCCCCCTCTTCTTCGTCCTCCGCCCTTTTCCCCATACTCGCCATGCGAAGCTGCCGGAGGCACCTTTGTTGGCCCCCCGCTCCCCGCCTTTGGAAGGTGAAGAGATAAGGATGGCGGTGACCTGATTGGGATTCCTGGAGCCGAGCCTCTGCGTGCCATTCGGCAGGTACGCTGCGATGTCCTGGTTCGGTGTGGGGCACCAGATACATACCTACTGTGCCCCGACCTACATGGCAGCGGAAGGACGTGAACCGATGGCGCGCTCCCCGCAAAGAGAGTAGTGACCTGCAGGCGACAGCTTCGTGCCCCACAAGGCCCTGTATCGCACCGCATCGCATCGCATCGTACCTCTGGCCATCCCTCCCCATCCTGGGGGCACTCCCGTTGATACCCCGCGTCGAGCCAAAGGCAAGCCCGGCCAGGTGTCTCGAGAGCGTGCCGGAGACGCTGCTTGCCCCGTGCGCGTCCCGCTCCTTCTGCCTGGCGGGCTCTGGTTTTTCGTGCCGAATTTCAGACTCCTTTTCCCTCGTCCTGACCCGACCATTCACGGTGGCCCGGGTCTGAGCTGCCTGGCCAGGCCTGCCGTCGACCGAAGAGGAAGGGCCTACATACAGCTGGCACGAAGCCCGAAGCCTCGGCCCGAAGCTCGCACCACTCGGCTGGCAGCTCCCCGCCCCGCACAGGACAGTCCAGGTCGGCACGCAAAGATGCACGTACGCTGGCTGTCGACTGCGGTAAGCGAGATGCAACGCTTCCTTCCTTCGTCTGAGCGCCCTCAAGCTCGCCGTCGAGCCTCGCACAGGACAGACGGTCGGTAGCTGGACGGACGCTAGACGGTGCCAGCCGGTGATTAAGATTGATTCGGCATTGATGATTGCATTTGACTCCACTTGTTGTTCTTTGTTCTGTTGTTCTTGGGGCAGGCCGCTCTAGACCTGATACTACTGCCGGCCTCGGTGTCCACCGCTCTACACGAGGGCCCGGAAGGCAGACATGGCCTCCGACCTGTCGACACCGCACTGCACCGCGCACCCTGCCCACCTCCCCGCTTCCTGTCGACCCACTGCACCACCTTCACCGACCGCATCCCACGAGCGCCGTGCGGTCCTCGCGCAGCGAGTAGAGAAAGACGCGCCCGCACCCGTGCACGCCGCCGCCCGATGCATCTGAAAAGGCAAACTCGACCGCCTTGGCCTTGACGAGCCGAGCGTAATCCTTCTCCTCGGCCGACAGACCATCGAGGAGCGCACGGAAGAGCAGCGTGCCGTCGTCATCGCCCCTCGACCCCGCCGCCGCGCCCATCGACGCTCCACCGCCGCCAACGCTGCCACCGCCGCCACACCCGCCGCTGGCCGCGTGGCTAGACAGGCAGGCCATCAGCGCCGCGGCGAGGCGGTCGAAGCTTGGGCCGGAAAAGTCGACGGCAAGTACGGGAACGTGGCCGCCCTGAAGCTGCTCGGCGAACCGGCTGACCTGCCTCGAGGCCTTGTCGAGCACTAGCTGTCGGCTCGAGGGTTTCGGCCGGTTCTGCTGGCTCTTGTCGCCCTTCTTGGACCGGTCGATCGGCCGCTCGGGCAGCACCATCTCGCGCTCCTTGATGGCGATGGCCATAGATGGCAGCACATCATTGCCGGCAAGGCCGCGGGAAGCGTGGTGGTGATGGCCATGGCCGTGCACAAAGGAGGACGCGCCGCCGGCGGTGCTCGAAGCGGCTCCCGCGACGCGAGCGATGCCCGTGTCGCCGTACGACTGCTGGAAGCGCGTGCTGGCCGAGGTGATCCAGCCAGAGCCGGCCACCTGCGCATCGACGCTCCGCTGCCTGGCGATCTTGTCCTGCACAAAGGTGACCAGCTCGTGCCTCGACACCTCGAACTCGGCCCGCTGCAGCACCATCTTGACCTTGAGCACAGGCGAGCGCGCCTTGGCAAACACGAGCAGGAGGATGCCCTCGGAACGGCAGGTGGCGGCGGCGGCCTCAGGCGTGTCGTAGGTCGCATGCTCGTACTGCAGATCGGCGGCGATGTTGTGCGCCCAGAGCTCGCGGCAGATCTCCATCCGCGTGTGCAGCAGGCCCGGGGCCGAGGCGACGTAAACGTCGCAGCGCCGGGGCGTCATGAAGCCGAAGCTCCTCTCCTCCTCGGCCCGGCTGAGCAGGCGCGGCACGTGTACCTCCTGGTACTTTGCAAGGCCCAGAGTGAGCTTGCCCACGGCGATCTGGACACCGACGCCGTGGAGCGAGGCGGACGAAGACGAGGATGGCGTCGAGAACCTCTTTAGCAGAGCATCGTAGCGCCCCCCCGCCGCCACCACGTCTCGCCGTTTGCCGGCGCGCACCACGGTGAAGAAAACGCCGCCGCGGTAGAGATTGCTCGACTGGGCGAGCAGCGGAGTGAAGAGGAAGCGCCTCTGCACGCCGAAGTGCTGCGCCGTGGCGGCCACCCCTGCAATCTCGGCGACGGCCTTCGATACGCGGGACCGATGCTCGGTCGGGAAGAGGCGCTCGAGGCGTCCGTGGACGGTCTTGAGCTCGTCCTGCAGGTTAAAGGCCTCGAGCTCCTCAATCGTGGAGCGGGGCAGCCCGAGCTGCAGCAGCTGGGTCCGGGCATTGTTGACGCTCTTGCTGCCTGCAAGAAGCGCGACGATGCCAAGAACCGCCTCGCGATGCTTGTTCGGTACGCGGTCGAGGATCAGCGAGAGGATGCCTTCGTGGTTGATGTGGATGTCCCACGACTCGGAGGCTACGCCAGGAATCTCGCTGAGCATCTCGTCGACCACCGCCAAGGCCTCAGCCTCAGCTGCCGCCGACCGCTCTGGCGAAACAATGTCAAACGAGGCCGCCAGCACGGCGCGCGGCTGGCCGCCCGCCACGACATTCTCTCGGTAGACGCTGCCGATCTCGTACCGCTTGAAGCGCTGGTTGTCGCTGCGAGAAAAGATGCGCGCAAACGGAACCGTCAGGTCGTACGGCAGCTGCACCACCTTGCCCGTCTTGTCGAGCACCTGCACGACCTTTTCGTTGGCATTGTAGAGACCGTTGGGCGGCACCAGCAGCGGCGCGGCGAACTCGACGGCGCCGTGCTTGCGGCAGACGCTGCGGATCAGGTCGCAGACGACGCCGACGAGCGCGTTGTCCTGGTCCGTCTGGGATCCGGTGTCAAAGGTAAAGTCGCGGACAACGTCGGTCGCCGTCCTGCCGAAGAGCGCGTCCATCAGCTGGTGGTTGTAGGCGCTCGAGGGGTTGGCCATCAGCCTCAGGCACTCCTCGATGTACTCGTCCTCCATTTTGGGCGGCAGCAGGTCGCTCCGGAGGATCTCGAGCGGCGACGGCCGGCGGTCCGGGTTGTGGTCGAGCATCTGCTTGATCAGCGCAGTCTGCTTGTCGAGCTTTGCGCGGGGCCAGGCCGCGGGGAACGAGACCGTCGGGTTGCGCAGCTCGCGGATCAGCAGGATCCGCTCCATTCCGGTGCGGTAGACAGCCTGGCTGGCCAGCATCTCGAAGAAGATGATGCCGAGCGAATAGATGTCGACCTTGAAGTTGTAGCGCGCCCCCTTCTTGGCGCGCAGCTCCGGCGCCGTGTAGAGGTAGGTGCCGAGGTCGCCAGTGAGGTCGGTGCTCTCGGCCAGATCCGCCGTGCCAGAGGGACCGGCGGCGCCCCCGCCCTCGGCGATCTGGACGGCGTTGGTGGCCAGGCCGAAATCGCCGATCTTGACATCGCCGTTGGCGTACATCAGGACGTTGGATGGCTTGAGGTCTCGGTGAATGATGCCCAGGCTGCTGATGTGTGCGAGCGCCTCGACCATCTGCCGCAGGATTCTCCACGCCTCGTCCTCCGAGAGGCCGCGGTCGATGGCCTCGCGCAGCGTGCGGTTCTCAACGAACTCCATCTGGATGTAGAGGACCCTCTGCACCGGGACAAAATCGGCATCGGCCTTGCTCATTGCTAGGCTGGACAGCCGTGGACCCTGCTTGGAGCCCCTGCGCGACGACGTGGGAATGCGGCTGAAGTCGTCCTCATCCTCTTCATCGTCGTCGTCGCTGCCAGAGTCGCTGTCGCTGTCGGACGAGCTGTCGTCGCTGCCGTCATTCCCGTCGCTGTCAGTGCTGTCTGTGCTTTCGCTGTGATCGCCGGAGCCCGGCTTGGAGGCGATGTTCCTGGGCCTGGATCGCGAGCGCGCGGAAGGACCCGGTGCCGACGAGCCCTCGTCGGACGAGTCGTCGTTGGCGAAGCGGATGTCGGCGAAGCTACTGCTCTGGCTGAAGGGGTCGTCATCGTGGCGGCTGCTGTTGAAGTAGTCGGAGTCAAAGTTGGGCGTGGCCCGGAAGGATTCGTCGCGGACAAGCCGCTTGGCGGGCCTGGTCTCCTTGACCGAAGCGAGGCTTGGGCCGGACGGGCCAGTGGCGCTGGTCGTGTTCGTCTCTAGCGTCCTGCTTGCCGTCAGGCCGTCCGTGTCGCTGCCGTGCAGGCCGGTCAGGGGCGTCTGCGTCTCCTCAATCCAGCAGGTCGTGTAGCGCACCACGTGCGGGTGGTCGAGGCGGCTTAGCGCCGTGATCTCCCGCAGCGTGCGCTCGTCTTCGTCGGGGGAGCTGGAGAGCTTGATCTTCTTGACGGCGTAAAACCTGCCGTCGAGTCGGTTCCTCGCCTTGACGACGCTGCCAAAGGCACCCTTGCCTAGGAACTCGACCTCCTCGAAGTCGGAGAGGTAGCGAGAGGCGCCGCCGCCCCCCGTCGCAGGACCTTGCCGGCCAATCTGTCTCAAGGGCCAGAACGAACCCGGTCGACTCTGGTCTCGCGGAGGCGATGTGCCGAGCTGCGCCGCGGCCGGGGTGGCCGGGGCGACCAGAGAGTTGCCTCGACGCCGAGCCAGCACGCCTTTCGCTCCGGCAGCTCCGTTGCCGGTCGGCATGCGCGTGTTGGACTCCTGCGACCACTCCTGGTCCTCGAATAGGATTATTTCTTCGAGCCGAGTGGCCAGAGCCGCGGTCGTCGGCCGCTTCTTGGGCGATCGTTCCAGCATCAACATCAGGAAGGCCCTGACGTGAGGTGGCAGCTCGTCTGCCGTCCTCAGCAAATGCTCGGGCGCCTCGTGCTCGACCGTGCAGTCGATGCCGAAGAGCATCTGGCACGCGCAGACACCGAGGTCCCACAGGTCGCGCTTGCGCGTATAGCTGAGCGGCTGCTCGACCGATTCGGGGGCCTTCCACGCCTGTGGTCGTTCCTCCTCGACCAGCGGACCGACGTTGTCATTGAGCGGGTTGGATCGGTGCATATCGCGGAGGCGCCGGACATAGCAGGCGTCCTTGATCCGCACGGCGGACTTGAACTCGGTCGCGGCGGCGCCGTTGCCGTCGATGTAGATGCAGTCAAGGCAGACGCCTCTGTGGAGCAGGTTGCGGCTATGGAGCGCCTCGAGCGCCTCGAGCAGGCTGGCGAGGTAGGTGCGAACCCGCTTCCAGGGCAGCACCTCGCACTGCTCGAGCAGCGAGCGCAGGGGCACGCCGGTGCTCCTCTCGAGGACGACGCTGAGCTTCCAGCCCTGATTGTCGCCCATGCGCGTGACGGCCGAGGCCAGCACATTGACGAGGTGGGGCTCGCGCACCTTGACGAGCTTGTCAAGCTCCCACTCGACCTCTTCGATCTTGCGCTTGCCGGCAGAATAGGCATAGTGGAGCGAAGAGATGAAGAAATGCTCGAGGACCCACGATCGGGCCAGCGTCGTATCTGCGGGGTCGTCGTGGGCCGCCTCGGCGAGATGGCGCACGCTCAGCTCCGTCCGCTCCAGCACGGGACCGAGCCGGAGCACGGAAATGACGCGTCCGTGATCCTCAAAGGGCTCAAGGAACGTCTCGATCCGCTGCGAAGACGACGACCCGCCGAGCCACTCGTTCGGGACGGGGCTGTCGAGCTTGGGCGTCGTGCTCGTGGCATGGGGCGAGTCGATCGAGGATGAAGAGGTGAGCGTGCGCTGCCGCTGCCGCTCGAGCTTGAGAACCATGGCCTTTTTGTTGGCCTCCTGTTCAATGAGCTCTGCCAGCTTGTTGGTCTTGGCGGTCTCAGCCTCGCGCTTCTTCTTCTTCTCCTCGTCGCGGCGCTGCTTCTCCTTGAGCTCCTCTTCCAGGGCCCTCTGCCGCTTCTCTTCCTCGAGGCTAACCGAGGGGACGCCATGCTTGACCTCTTTCGGGGCGAGATTGTTCTGGCTGATGTAGTCCTGGCCGTGATAGACGAGCTCCCAGATCATCTCCGCGCCGACCAGCTCGCGCGCCTTTGCATTGATCTCATTGTTGAGGTCCCGGATGTGCTGCGCCGAGAGGCCCTTGTTGCGGCCGTCATTGGGCTTGAGGGCTACGGTAGGAGCGTTGAGCGGATAGTTCTTGGGGAGCTTGAAGTTGACGACGGCGGCGACGAGGGGCTTGAGCCTCTCCTCGTCGGGTCGGAGCGTGATCTCAAACTCGTGGAGCTGCGAGGTGAGGGCGCCCTTCCAAGCCTTGTGCTCGACCTTCTGGAAGTCGTCTTCGAGGATCGAGTGGAGCGCCTCTAGCTCGGTCTGCTGGATCTCTGCGATCTCTTCGGGTGACAGCGCCGGAGGTTTCGCTGCCGGCGACATGGCGGTCGCTGCTCAGAGAAGAGGCATAGGTGGCAGCGGAGGCGACGGGTTGCCGGACGCGTTTTCGGCACAGGCACAGGGACGAGATCGGCGGCAAAAGCGCGGCCGCAGGTTTCGTCGAGATGAGAGGCTCAAAGGAAGACGGAGGTCCTGCTCGCGGATCAAGCAGCGAGAAGGCGCAGGCCAGGCCTCGGGCCTTAGGCGGACACCATCTCGGCCAGTCTCGGGCGTCGAGAGGTGGTGGACGTGCGAGATGAAGGGTAAGACCGTGCAGTGTCGACGGCCGTCAAGCGTGCGAGGAGGCGGCGATCCCCTGTGCGCGGTTGCGTTTGATAAAGGGGCGAGGTTGGGCAGCAGTGGTGGTGGTGGTCGTCGTCGTCCGAGGCACCAAGAGGCGTCGGTAGCAGGATGGGAGGGCGAGGGTGGCTCGTGTGAGCTGCGGGGTCAGGCCTGGTGCCGGCCGGTCTCTGTCGCCGCTTTTTTTCTCGGCGGATTTGGGCCATGGCGCCTGACCCTGACCCGCTCGCGGCTTTTCTCGCGCTTTCGGTCGCCATCACGCGTGAGCCTGCTCCCGGGCCACCAACCGCCCAGCCCAGCCTGGCCTGGCATCCGAACGCAAGGCATCTGGCATCGTGACGAGCCCTCTTCCCCTCCCTGGCTGCCGTGCGACCGCTTGAACTCATCTGCCACGAGGCAAGCCGCACAAGGCTGGACAGCGAGCGGACGATGTCTGGCAAACGCGGTCTGTCGCCGTGTGGGGTTTTGGATCCGGCTCAGCTCGGCAGCTCGGCTTTTGGGGTTTTGTTCTGGGGAGTGTGGGCGGGTGAGCGGTGCGCCGCGGGGTGAAGCTACAAAAGTACATAGATGGTGTGTGTGTGTGCGTGTGCGTAGCGGGGTCGCCTGGCTCCTACTGGCCCTCTACTCCCGTTGGCCGGGGGGCGATCCGGTGCGACGGGAGGGAGAGGCAGGGCATGGCAGGCCAGGGACCAGAGGAAAGAAGTGCAAAGGCCATAGGCATAGGCCACCCACCCACTGGACCCCTCGACAAGGCAAGGGACGATCGGACGGACCCCACGGCGCGAGGGCCGCGGGACGACGGCGATCCCTTTAGATGTAGGTGTCGTAGGGCTGGGGAGCCAGGGTCTCGGGCAGGTTCTTCTTGGTCGAGACCGTTCGTGCCTCGCGGGGAGCAGCGGGGAGACGCTTGATCTGGACACGCTCTGTTGGTTCGGTGGCAGATCGGAAATGGAGCAGGCTCGAGGATCAGCTCGCCATTCTCTCGCAACAGGGGCAGCCCTCGCAGCTCGACAGCGCGTTTTCCGCAGGCCGCTCCGACGGCCGCTACTCACCACCCTTGGCCTTGGCCTCCTTCTTCAGCTCAGCGTTCTTGGCGACACGCTTGAGGAAGTCGTCACGGCAGCCAGAGTGGCGGACGTGCTCGACGCGGACGTTGACGCGCTTCTCAATGTAGCGGTTGCCGACGACCTTGTAGATGATGACACCGACGGCGCGGGGGGCGACGTTGTAGACGACACCGGTGCGGCCGTGGTAGTACTTGTGCGGCATGCCCTTCTGCTCGGCGGCGTTGGCGACGATGTCGACAATGTCACCGGCGTGGTAGGGGCGCAGGTAGGTCGAGAGGTGGACCGGACCATGCTGGCGGAACTTCCTCGCGAAGAGGTGGCGGGTGCGGGCCCTGTAACCGAACGAGTGCTGTGGGTATCGAGGGCATCACGGCGCAACAGGGCAGTGGAGAAGCGGAGAGAAGTAGCGGCAGAGGGTCAGCGACCTGTGTGCCTCCAGAAACAGTCCAGCTGCGAGGCGACGGCCATGCCCGGAGTCGCTGGCGAAAGGGTGGAAGCCTGCCATCGTCGTCGAAGTCGAGTGTGGTGGAACCGAGACGATGCGTCGGGAGGTCTGAATGCTGTCGTCTTTGTCGCTGCTGAGGGTGGCCTTCGATGTCGATGCTGGCTGTGATGCTAGGCTGTCGCAGCGGCCCAGCACCGCTGTCTGCTGCCATCGAACATGACCTCTGCGGCGAGGCAATCCGGAAGCATCATCGGTGAGAGTCGGTGGCGGCGGCGGCGTCCACCACGACCGTCGCCCATCCGGGTACAGGCCAACCAGGCGCATCCCTCCGTCCACCCTTTCCGTGTCCATGTCCAACGCAACGAAGCCCGAATTTGGCCAACAGTTTCCCTCTGTTTCATCGTCGCTTCTCCGTGCAGAACCTGTCTGCATCCGCTCGCAGTCTCCGTCCAGGACTTTGTGCTGAGGACAGCCCCTTCGGCTTCTCCAACACTCGAGGCGTTTCCCGTCCTAAGGCCTGAACGTCGGAACATGGCCTTCTGAAAGTAGAACGGGTCGATCATAAGGGCGAGGTCGAGAGTGGTCGCCGGTTGTCGATATCATCGGTCGAAGTAGTAGCAGCCGCAGGTGTCGCAGCAGCCGCGTTTGGTGCAGCATTCGTTCGGCATGCCGTGTGGCAGGCGTTTCTGGTCTTTGTCGGTGGCGACGGTTTCGAGCTCCTGGGCGATGGCCGTCGAAGATTGTCGTGTATGCCGGCAGCATCAACTTACAGGCATGGCGGATGATGTGTCTTGACGGGGTTCGGAGGGGGGGTGACGGGTGGTGGTGTGAGAAGGTGTCAGGCAGACGATCGCCCCTTCTGGCTGGGACGCCCGCCAGGCCCCCGGCCTCTCGCCTCTGCTGGCTGACTGGCTGGCTGGCGGGCGCCGCCGCCGCCGCCGTATGCCCCCGCCTCTGGCTCTTGCACCTGGCACCGCTAGGCCCTGTCGTCTGGCCCAGACGGCACCGGGGGCTCCTTCGCTCCTTTGGCAAATTCCCGTCGATCAGCCAGGGCAGGCGCAGTCGCCAGCCTCGGCCGAAATTTCTCAGCTGGCCGCCAGACTTTGAATTTTTCGAGCTTAGAGCACGTGATCTTGATCTGATTTTCGGCCTGCGAGCGGCTTTGCTTCTCTCGGCCCTCTTGGATGGCCCCCCGCCTGCCGGCGCTGGGGGGGGGTCGACGCAGGGCAGGCAAGGGCAGGCGGCACAGACGGGCGAGCTGTGGGCCGCGGGCGGAAGGAGCGCGCTGGCGATGCCAAGGCGCAAAGGGCCAGCTGCAACGCCCTCCTTCCCACCTCGTCCTCGTCACCACATATCCCCCTCATCGTCAAGGTAAGTCGTCGACAGATACCCGGCCGCCCCGTCAGCATCGTACCGACACGCCGCAGAGATGATCGCCGCGATCAAGCGCACCATGGGCACAAGGAAGAAAAGACGAAGCGTTGGAGAGGAGGAAGCAGGGTCGGGGTCAGAAGGAGGATGATGATGATGGGATCCGACGCGACCATGCTACACCACAGCCGCGCCGACCTCGACGACAACACCTACGGCCCATCCCGACACGGCCCACGCGACCGCGACCGTTGACTCAGCGCCCACAACACCGGGACAGACCGCCTATGCGACGCCAGCTAGCCAACGATTCCGCAATCGAGCCATGGAACAACTAGGCGAACAGCGACACCTCTACCTTACCTTACCATCGACCATGCCCCGGCAAAGCTCATGCAGCATCCCACCTGCGACACCGCTCTCGCCTTGCGCTGCTCAGTCTGCTCGGTTTCGGGATCGAGGGTGGAAAGGATGACATGGGTGGAAACTGGTCGACAATCGTCTTTGCGCGGACTAGGCTCGCACCTGTCGGGATGGCAGGACGCGGGTCCGATGATGTCCTCAAACATTCCTTGTTACAGATCAGGACGTGCCTCGTCCGGTCTCGCGTCTCTGTACGAGGCGGGGCGCTGGGCTCGAGGCTTTCCCTGCATCGCCCTGGGGCGACTTGATCGAGGCAACCTAGCTTAGGCTCCGACCCTCGCAAGGCTCTGGCATGCTCACACCCGTGCTGCCCGCCCTTTCTCCTTCTCTGTTTGCTCCTTGCTGCTGTCGCCTTCTGGTGCTGCTTCCTTGGACGCTACAGACACAATGTGAGTGACACCCTCGAGCCTCTCATCTGCCGGGACGTGGACAAGAACACGGCAGGAGGTGCTGACTGACCCCTCTGCCCCGTATCTGTGCTTTGGTGTTCTGTTGCCGTCTCCGCCTCTAGGCCCCGTGCTCCCCGCAACCACTCCAAGACCGCCAAGGTCCCCCGTAGGCCCTTCGAGTCGGCTCGTCTCGATGCCGAGCTCAAGCTGGCCGGAGAGTACGGTCTCCGCAACAAGCGTGAGATCTGGCGCATTGCCCTCACCCTCTCCAAGATTCGTCGTGCCGCTCGTGAGCTGCTCAAGCTCGACGAGAAGGACCCCAAGCGCCTCTTTGAGGGCAACGCCATCATCCGCCGTCTTGTGCGCATCGGTGTGCTCGACGAGGCCCGCATGAGGCTCGACTACGTGCTTGCCCTCAAGATCGAGGACTTCCTCGAGCGCCGTCTCCAGACCCAGGTCTTCAAGAGCGGCCTCGCCAAGTCGATTCACCACGCCCGTGTCCTCATCACCCAGCGCCACATCCGGTAAGTGTCGCGTGACCCTGGCGTATTCGGCCGTCATGCTTCACGGCACCTGGTCCCTAACCCTTCGATCTCCTCGCCAACCTCTTGAATACCCGTACACAGCGTCGGCAAGCAGATCGTCAACGTCCCCTCGTTTGTCGTCCGTCTTGACTCGCAGAAGCACATCGACTTCGCCCTCACCTCGCCCTACGGCGGTGCCCGCGCCGGCCGTGTCAAGCGCAAGCGTGCTCGCGCTGCCGCCGAGGCTGCTGGCGGTGACGACGCCGGTGACGAGGAGGAGGAGGAGTAAGCCGCTCGCCCAACGCTTGCACTCCAACCCCTCTCGCATACCCCTCCCCTCCAAAAGCGGCGGACCGTGGATCAGCCGCGCAGGAGCTCTGCCGCGTGAGGAGCCTCTGTGCGTCGATGGCCTCCGGTCCGCTTTAGACGGCGACGGCGACGAGCCAGTCTCGGAGCCAGGCAATGGATTGATTCTCGACTCCAAGACGCGGCGGTTCTTTTTTGGGAGCACCTCACCCCTGTTTGAGCGGTCCAGCTGTATACGTCGCATCGTCCGTCGTGGATCGGCGTCGGTCCGTCACCTGTCGCTACGTCGCCTATCTCCTCTCTCCATGCCATGTACTACGTACCACCCTCACACTCTCGCCCCCCAAAAAAACCAAGCCAACCACGCAAATCATGCATTGCTCCCACAACGACTGGCCGAGGCGGGTCTCCGGCAGCGCCGCCGAGCGTCTGTCTTGGAGGACAATGGACGATAGTGGTGATTTGAGGGCGCACAGGTACAAGTACAGACAGAGATGCCACAGTCGCCTCGGACGACGGGCATTGCCAGGGCGGAGGTAACGTTCCAGCCCATGTGGATTCGTCCGACGCCATCAGAGCTCGGCCATCTCGGCGGCAACCTCCTGCATCTCCTGGGCGATGTCGTCCCTGAACGAGGCGATCCTCGCATCGAGCGAGGCGATCTTGTCGTTAAAGTCCCTCTGCTGGGACAGGGCGACCTTCCTGAGCTGGTCCCGCTCGACCGTGGCGCGGAGGAGGTCGTTTTCTTTCGCCTGGATGCGACCGACGAGCGCGGCCAGCTGCGGCTTGTCGATGTGCGGCAGGGCGAGCTCGGTCTGGATGGCGCGGGCGCGGTGCGAACACTCGAGGAGGCCCTGGGTGACGAGGTGCAGGATCTCCTGGAGCATGTCGTCGCTAATGGCGATCCTGCCACCGCTCTGGGCGCCCTCGGCATCGTGGGCGGCGGCGGCGTGGGAGCACGAGTGGGGCGTGCGTGCCGCCCGCTGCTGGTCGGCGGACGACGGGGATGTCAAGTTGGCCGCATCAGACGATGCCGCCGACGTCGAGGCCGCCTGCCCTGCCGTTGCTGTGGTCACTGGTGGTGGTGGTTGGGAGAGGTAGGTCGAGAAAGCGTCGTTGTACTCGTGCCAGTGCGCCACCCTCCGCTCCTGGCACTCCTTGAACGACCGGAGCAGGTGCAGCGCCGTCGTCGGCTCGTCGCCGGTGGCGTTCGGCATGTCCGTCGCAGCTGGCGGAGAGGAGCCGATCGACATGGTTGCGCAGGGGCCTCGAGAGGGCAAAGAGGGTGATCCGAGTCGGCGACAGGCAGAAACACCAGGCGCAGCTGCAGGCTGGAAGAACGACGTCGGCGGCGGCGGCGGCGGCGGCTGAGCTGAAAGCGAAGCAGGTGGTGGTCAAAGCGAAGGCGGCGGGGCGACGCGGCGACGCGGCATGCAACGATTCACGGAGCCGAAAGGCGTACAGCGCGGAGAGGGTCGCGGAAGAGCCGGACCGGCCAGGGTCCGATGCCCTGACCTGGCCTCCTGCCCTGACTTCGCCAAGGCCGCACGACGACGATCCGGCTCGACGCGGCGCGGGCCCCACGCAGCCCATCGATCGCGATCATGTCCGGGACCCCGAAAGCCACATCGGAACGGCGTAGCATGAACACCTGCTTGCGCCGCCCTCGCCCGCTCCGGCCGACGAGAGCAGCGGGCGGGCAAAGAGAGCAAGCAAGCAGATAGAGTCATGCTCAGCCGGAGCTCACGTCTCACTCAGCCCCGAAACTCCTCTCGATCTTCCCCTCAGCGGTGTGCGTCCGTGGCTACGCTGTTGATGAATCCCTTGCCCTGATCGGCCTGAGGTGAAGATGTGCAGTAGTGGGTAGTAATACGGTGCGATGCTGTGGAACCTTTGTGCGAGCTGTGCTCTCGCTTCGCGCTGTGCCAGGCGGTCGAATACTGTACGACGCACGACGCCAACGACGACCAAAGGGGCCAAGCCAGGCCAAGAGAGCTCTAAAATGCGCGCCAGGCTCGGCATACCCGGTGGATCCTGCAGGCCTGCCCAACGAGGTGGTGGTGATGGCCACCATCCCAACACCAAAGGCGGCGGGTCATCGCCGTCACCAGCATCATCAATTGTCGTTGCGAAGGAGGTGGCGATGCAGCCGTTGGCTAGCTCCCCTACCTTTGCCACCGGCGACTTTCGGAAGGGCGCCGAGGCAAGCAGGGTGGGGGAAAAGCCACAGGCAGGCACACCGCCGGCGGCTGCCGGATGACAAGCAGCAGCGCGGCCGCCTGGTTGCTCTCACAGACCTCACTCATCGCGCTGCCTCCTCCTCCACCCGGCGAACCCGACATTTTTTTCGATGGACGAGCCAGAGGAGAAGCAGGCAGGGCTCAGGGCCCAGAGCTCAGGGCGGGCAGGCAGGCAGGCAGCCAAGAAGCAGGCAGGGCCAGCCAGCAAGCCAGCCAGCCCAACTCTGGGGCGAATTTGCCGAGGCCATCCCCCCCGCTGCGCCGCTTCTTTGAGCGAGCCTTCTTGCCGGGGCAGGAAAGAAACGGCTTCCTGGCGGCCTGCTGCTGGCCTGCCTTGCCTTGCCTACCTGCTTGCTTCTCGCAGCTTCGGTCCGCAGCCAGCGAGGCAGCCTACCCTCCCCTAGCCTGCTTGCTTGCTTGCTTGCCTTCTGTCCTCTTGCTTCCAGGTGCCCCATGTACCTCTCACTCACCCTTCTGCCTCCCGTCGTCGTCGCTTTCTCTTCCACGTCCCTCCTGCCGCCTCCTCGCCCGTCTCGTCTCCTGGTCAAGGTAGCCCACGCCCCGATCGAGCCCGTCTCTTTCTGCAAGACCGAAGAGCACTGCGAAGCTGTCATTCGAAGGACCCCGGGCAGCTCCTGATCATTCATCACGCCGCCATCGTCACACTACGGCAGTACGGTGGTGCCGAGCTTCGACACGTAACGCACGCTGCTGCGCTCGCCCTCAGCTGCTTGATTCCACGTCGCCGGCCTGCGGCGTCGCCTCGTCGTCTCCTTGGCTCGCCCCCTGGAGCTGCTTCGGCTGCGTTCCGCCGACGTACCACTCGGCCTCGTCCGCGCGGGCCGTTTCAGAGTCGTAGTCACACCCACCGCCCTACGCCCTCGTTCGATCTTCGAAACCTCGCCGCGCACTCGAGGAGACGGCGTCGGAACGGCTCCCGACTTTTTGGCTCCACATAAGGCTCAACCCAGCCCGAGGAGCAAGACAGAATTAGCGTCCCGCCCCGCAACTCGCTCCCCTTTCAACCTCATCACCTCACCAAAACCTCATCATCCGCAAACGGCCTCCTTCTGCCAGCTGCAGAGACCAAGCTCACGTTCTGCTGCCGATAGCAAGCCGAGCGACACGACGACGGGCGAGCTCAAAAGGCTGCGCTCCTCTCTGCACACGCATCCGCCGCCATGCCGAGACGCGGTCGCCTCGGCGGCCACCGGGTCATCATCGCATCCCTCTTTCTTCCGGATACGCTCCACTTCAGCGAGCCAGAGCTCGACTCGGCCTTTACCGAGTCGCCCGAGGAGTCGACCGCGCCGCCCTCGCCCGACTCGTGCCTGCGCGAGCCACCGTTGCCGATCCATGAGCTCTCCACGCGCCTCGCCGCCTCCATGAAGGACGGCCGCGGCAGCGGTGATCACGACGTCGTCCGCCCCAAGTCGACCGCCGTTCCAAAGACACCCAAGCATCGCCAGTCCTCGTTCTCGGACAAGAAGATCAACATGAGCGAGCTGATGTACGAGGCCACTGCCTTCCCCAAGCTCGACGTCAAGGGCGACGGCAGCGTCAGCGGACCACCTTCGCCCAAGGGCAGGTCGCGTCGGGGCTCGATGTCCGAGCACAGCCTGACGACTTCGGACATCCCCGTTGCCCCCGCCTCCGACCACGGCCGCTCGGCCTCATCCATCGAGGCCGGCAGCAGCGCAGCCCGTCCGACCTCTCCGCTGCCGGGCGCCAAGGGTTCGTTCGCACCCGTACCTTCGGGTCAAAAGAGCCGCAGGACCAGCTTCAACACTACCGGACCATCCGGCCAGGCCCTCTCTCAGAACCCAACTCCCATGGAGGGGCCCGGAACGCAGACGCCCGGCGCTCAGGCGGGCGGGAGGCAGGGCATGACGATGCCCTTGAGCATTATCTCGGACATGGCGGTGAGTCGGGTCAATGTGGCACAATGGCGGATGCGTCGTTGCAAGGGATGCTGCGCGGCGCTCGAGTGAGCGTGGAGCGAGAACTGACCGAGCCCTGCTCACCAATCCTTGATCCCCCTTTTCCTTACTTCAGGCAAAACGAGGTGGTCCGATCCCGCAGGTGTCGACGCCCGGGGACAGCGAACGACACCACCCATTCGGCTCGGGAGCGGTCACGCCGATGGCGGGTGCGCAGACTCCGGGTAGCGCCAATCGTCCGTCGTTTGGGACGACCCGGAGTTTCGGTGCGCTCAACCCATCGGCCCTGAGCATGACCAAGGCCAACAACACTCCTGGCGCCAACACATCGGGGCCCTCGCGCCCTGGCGGCCCTTCGTCCACGTCTGCCAGCAAACAGCAACAGCAGCAGCAGCAGCAGCAGCCTCAGCAGCAACTGCCTAACTCGGGCTCGTCGTCGTCCTCTGCCAAGCCGCCAAGGCCTTCGCAGCTTGTCCGTGCCGCCAGCGCCAAGCCCAGCATCTCGCAGTTCGAACAGGTGCAGGGCGGAACGTCGAGGAGGTCCGAGGGCTTGCTGGATCAGCCGGGTCGATTGGCGGAGGACCGTGATCGCTCGGGCGGCGCGTCGCCTTCGCCTTCGGCAAAACTGCGCAACCTCAGCATCAGCGGTGCGAGGAGTGCGCACGGCGCCTCGTCTGCCTTCGGCCGCAACCGCAGCATCCGCGCCGCGCCGCGCATCCGCCACGGCGTGCGCGCGTCCTCGAAGAGCAGGTCGGGCCTTGCACGGAGGACCTCGGCCACCTCGATGGATACCTTCGCCGACAGCCCCTCTGGCCTTCCCCCTTTCGAGTTCGTCTCGAACCCCGCGGCCAACGGCGGTCTCATCAACGCGGTCCGCAGCATCGAGCGCGAGAAGCTGCGAGCCGGCAAACTCTACGTAGGCACGGTCGGCATCGACACCGAGGGCTGGCTTGGCCCAGCCGAGAAACGCGAAGTGGAGATGCGCTACCGCAAGGAGAAGAGCTCGGTACCGGTGTGGGTCGACGACGATGACTTCGACAGCAGCTACAACCAGTTCTGCAAGCAGATTCTCTGGCCCACCTTTCACTACACCCTGCCCACATCCAAGGGGCTCGAGCACGAGCAGGAGTCGTTCCGGGCCTACGTCGAGGTCAACCGACGCTTTGCCGACGCCATCGAGGAGGCGTACGAGGAGGGCGACATTGTCTGGATCAACGACTACCACCTCCTGCTGGTGCCCCAGATGGTGCGCGAGCGCCTGCCGCACGCCACCATCGGTCTCTTTGTCCACATCGCTTTTCCGTCGAGCGAGCTCTTCCGGTGCCTCAGCGTCCGCGAGACGCTGCTCAAGGGCATGCTGGGTGCCGACCTGATCGGGTTTCAGACGCACAACTTCTGCCGCCACTTCCGCCAGACCGTCAGCCGCATCCTCCAGCTCGAGGCAACGCCCAAGGGCATCCAGCTCGACGGCAGCTTCGTCGCCGTGTCGCCGTTCCCGATTGGCATCGACGTCCGCAGCCTCAACGCCAAGCGGCAGGACCCCGAGGTGCAGGAGTGGGTGTCGAAGCTGCGCGAAAAGTACTCAGGCAAGCGCATCGTCGTCGGCCGCGACAAGCTCGACTGGATCAAGGGCGTGCGCCAGAAGCTGCTGGCGTTCGAGACGTTCCTCGACGAGCATCCCAAGTGGGCCGGAGAGGTGGTGCTGATCCAGGTCGCCCTCGCCACGACGGAGCAGAACGAGGAGATTGGCGAGGCCACCGACGTGGTGGCGAGGATCAACAACAAGTACAGCTCGCTCACCTACCAGCCCGTCGTCTTCCTCCACGTCCAGGACATCACCTTCAGCCAGTACCTGGCGCTGCTGACCGTGGCCGACTGCTTCCTCGCCACCAGCCTGCGCGAGGGGATGAACCTGACCTCGCACGAGTACGTCGTTTGCCAAGAGGTGCGCCACCGGCCGCTGGTGCTGTCCGAGTTCACGGGCACCTACTCTGGGCTGCGCGCCTGCATCGGCATCAACCCCTGGAACACCAAGCAGGTGGCCAACGCCATCCACAAGGCGCTGACGATGGACGAGTCGGAGCGCGTCCAGCGGTGGACCGACCTGCACCGCGTCGTCGTCACCCAGACGGCGCAGCACTGGATCACGTCTCTCCTCGGCCACCTCGAGCGCGCCCATCTCGAACAGGAGCGCCTCGAGAACATGTTTGTGCCGCGCCTCGAGGTCGCGCAGCTCGTCTCCGAGTGGCGCGCCGCCAACTCGCGGCTGCTGCTAATCGACCTCGAGGAGACGCTCGTCAAGCTCGACCCCGCCATGTTGCGCGAGCAGGGATGCTTCGAGCCGCCCGAGTGGCTGGTCAAGCTGCTCACCGACCTCACCTCGGACGGCAAGAATGTCGTCTACGTGCTCAGCGCCATGGGCACCGACGACCTCTCCAAGCTGGTCAACGCCGTTGAGAGCGTCGGCTTCGTCGCCGAGAACGGGTGCTTTGTCAAGCACGCCCGCGAGACCTACTGGAACAGCCTCGTGGCCGCCTTCGACCTGCGTCCGATCCGCGACATCCTCAACTACTTCACCGAGCGAACGCCCGGCTCGTACATCGAGGAGCGCGGCGCGTCGATGTGCTGGCGCTTCTGGAACGACGGCGAAGACAGCAAGACCAACTCGCACGAGGCGCAGTGGGCGCGCCGCCAGTCGGCCGAGGTCGCCAACCTGATCCACGAGCGCTTCTCGCACTCGCTGCGTGTGATCCCCTGCAAGACGAGCTGTCTCATCATGCCCCGCTACGCCAGCCGCGCCTCGGCGGTGCAGCACATCATCATGCAGATGAGCGTGCTCGGGACCCCGGCCTTCCCCACTGCCAGCAGCAGCACCTCGTCGCTCGCCACACCCGGCGCGGCGCCCTCAGCGGTGGCGCAGCGCCTGCCCGACCAGCCGCACCACCTCCCCCTGCACCACCCTCCGCTCGAGTCGGCCTACAAGCAGCCGTCCAACTACTGGCCGGCACCGGGCTCGACGACGGTGAACTCGTCGCCCGTCCAGCACCCTGGCTCGCGCCATCGAGGCTCGATGTCGCATGGCGCGCACCACGGCCACCACATGGGACAGTTCGACTTTGTGCTGGCGCTGGGCCAGGATGAGAAGTTGCTGGCCTACGTCAACACGCTCGACCTCTTCGCGCCCGTCACCTGCACCACGGTCGACCTCGACAAGAACCGGGGCACCGAGGCGGCCTACTTCCTGGCGCCCGAGGATGTGCGCGAGGCGCTCGAGGAGATCATCAACTTCCGGGCTCGCGACCTCAAGTGGGCGCATGGATGATGCGCCGAGCGCCGGGCGTCGTGTCTCGTGCCTCGTGGCCTGAGGTCGGGTGGGTCGTCGTAGGTCGACGCACCGCGACGTCTGCCCGCTCGCTGCTTCGCTTTTCTCCCCTTGTGCGGCGAGCGATGCTACTTCCGGCGTTCTTGGCCTCTGGCAACTGCGGGTGGGACTCGACCAATCGATCTGTTCGCCCCACGTTGACTGGGCTACGCGGAGTTTCCACTCCAGCGACACCCCCTGGGCCTGACCAGCCCCGCTGCGTGCTTCGTTGGATCCTTTCGCCCGCCTCGGCCAACTTGCTTCCCAAGCGGATGCTGGGATCTACTGCACTTGTAGAACCCTCGCAACAGGACCGCCAGAGCGCAGCATGTCGTCGGCGCGCCCACAGCAGCAAACGCACCAACCCGCATCCCCCACCCACAGCAGCAAGGCAGCCGACATCATCGGCTGCGGCAACCGTCTGCCCCAACAACGCTCTCCGGCATCCCGCATCGATCGTCGCACTCCTTTTTTTTCCGGGGCCCTGATGTGCCCGTTTCCTGTTTGCCGACGATCGGCCAGCAATTGCAGCTGCGCCAACAAAGAAGCGTCGATGCCTGTCTTTGTCCGTCGGAAACCAAAGCGTAGGCTGGAAGCAGCTGGCATAGGCTGCGCTCGCTTCGGCCCACAGGCGCGACTTGGCTAGCACGCCTTGACGGCTGCATCGGCCCGCTTTGCCGCCATGTTTCCACTGGCTCCTCGGACATAGGCTTGAGCGGACCGACGACCGGCCATCAGGGGTTGCCATGAGCCATTCTCTCTCTCCGTCTCCCCCTCTCCCCCTCTCCCCCTCTTCCCCTCTCCCCCTCTTCCCCTCACACCCTCTAGTCCCGCCAGCGCTCAACACACGATGCACAGCTGCCGCGGCCCTGATCCGACCCTTTGCATAACCATGTATCCATTCCATTCTTCTGTTTGTCCACCTGACCTCGTCACGCCCACGCTGGCTTTGCCGCAATCCGATCCACATGTTGCGGTCTTCAACGCTGGTCGGCTCCACCGTCGTGTCGCCCCGCGACGCGTGGGCCACAATGAGGGGTGGCGGCGAGATGAAGCGAGGCGGGAAGAAAGGAGGTCGGCCGAGTCTGGACCCATCCTGTCATGCACGTCGGACCAGGTGAGCGGGCGAGTGGATCGGAGCGCCCGAGCCGCACCGGTCGGTCATCTGCTGCTCCGCCTCGAGCGGGCAACGCGGCAGAGTGTGAAGAAGGTCGAAGGGGAAGCGAGGACGAGAACGATGAGAAGGAGGAAGCAGGAGATAGATCCCCACGTTACAGCCTGCGCAGAGCCACGACTGCGGGCTTCTTGACCGGCTTCATGCAATCCACTGAGCACCTTCCCCTCCTTCCCTATTCTTCTCCGCCTTGCTCGTCTTTGCGGGATCAGAGAGCTCCGGAGCCGGACGTAGGCAGAGAGAAGCCAGGATCATCGCGACCATCCAGCCTGGCCACCCGCAACTCTCGCAGATCCCTGCTCGCAGCGACTCTAGGGAGGACTGACTGTACCACGCTGTCCTCTCCTCCCAACCCACGCCTGCCCCAGTCAAAAAGTGGCCAGCAGCCCGAGTGAGGGGTTAAATTGCTTTTTGGGCGTTTTTCTGGGCGCGCCGAGCCGATCCGTCGACCACGAGGCAACTCTTCGTCCCACGCTACCGCCAGCGCGGGGCGCTAGGACCCAGCCCCTCGTCTGTGTCCCCCGTTCCACGGCTCGCTCCTATCCAGACAGTGCACATCCACCACTACTGTGCTGCATTCTTATCGTGCTGTATGGCTCGCTCACCTCTGGCCTTTTCTTCCTGCGTCGAGGGATTATTGTTGACTGAGCAGTCGGGGCCGAGCCCCTATTTGACCCTCCGACCTACCGCACCGTCCTGCGCGGGGCAAAGAAGGAAGCAAACCAGAGATCAGACCTCCCGCATCACATGTGGTCGGCAGCATCTCCGCTCCTTTGCCGCTTCTCGTCAGCGGCGGCCTACTGGGCCAGCTTGCGCCTTCCTACTTGTCTTTTTTGATGCGAAGAGTTCGTCCGGTCCCGCCGTGGCGTGGCCTCCCCGTCGAATACAGTGTGAGCGCAGACAGCGAGAGAGGCAGGTGAGGAAGGCCACAAAAAGGGTACCACGACCTGGTGTGGGGACACCGGAAGCGAGATGCCGAAGCCTCCTGACGATAAGGCGGCCTTTGCTCTCTGTGCAGAGCGGCTTACCTGACCTGAACTTGCTCCCATTCTGATTGTGGGCCAGTGACCAGCGATGGGTGGGCAGGCGGTCCTGTAGACAGACGATGAACGACCCATCCGATCCTGCAACTGAAGCAGGCGTAGAGGCTTTGCCGTGATACCGGACTGCGGTACCTACAACGCCGTAGCTAGATGTTTGTGCGCCCGCCCGTTCGCCCGCTCACACGCGCGGTCTGCGGCTGGGCTGTTGTGTTGTCCGATACGCTCGCCCTCGTTGCAGAAGTGAAAGGCAAGGTGGGACCCATCTTGTCGGTACCGCCGAGCGTGCACGGTGAGCGAATTCGTCGTCGAGTCGACGCTGAGACCGCTCGCCCGTTCCCTTTGTCTTGAGTGCACTACATACTCGCGAATGAAGTTGCACTGGACTCGACTTGCCATCGCCGCGGAGCTGCTTGGTAGGCAGGCGGACAATTGGCCTGCAAGCGGTCACGCAGAGGTGCAGCGTCCGACTACTACTGTTGTGCTGTACGTGCAGTACGTACTCCTCTGTGTACGTGTGGCTGGGCGGTCGGGATGGACGTTTATGAACGCCGTAGGGGAGACTGGATGGTGGTCTTCACAGCCGGCAATCTGTCTACCGAAGGGAGGAAGAGGAGACCGATACGCGCGCCTGCCTCTTGGCAGGGGAGGTGCAGGCTAGTTGCAATACGCCGTATGACGCCACAAGCGTGGCAGGCAGGCCTGCGTATGTATGTGCCGGTAGCGTGGCATCGTCGTTGCCCGGGCTCACCACATGGATCGACTGCAGCGCCGCCCTGCCTCCCGTTTTTACGAGAGCGAGCGGATGGGGAGCGGAAGCAAAGAAGGGTCTGAGACACCACGCTCGCTCATGCTCGACCTCGATTCGGGATCCAAGCAGCCTCGCCTGGTCCATGTACCGTTGAAACCGGAATCGACGCTTCCGATGGGTCTTGCATGCTGCCTACCACACAGCTCGCCTGCACACGCAGTCTTAGGCCACCACACCTGGTCGTGCGTCTTCTGTTGACCCTTCTGCTCTATGGACCAAAGATCGATGCCGTGCTCCATCCGCCTGCCCCTTGTCGTCTGCCCCCGATTGACAGAACTTGCCGTCCAACCGGGCGTGAAAGCAGGCCGTAGCGCTGGCCCATGGTCAAAGGACTGCGAGTGCATCGGGACCTGTTCCGAGCCCCTCCTGACGTCGGTGCCCCGCAGCTCAGAAGTGGTCGGATCTCGCCGAGACAGGGATGGCTGTGCTTCAGGCCGCCAAGCCACAACTGCCGGCATCCCGTCCCGTTTTGAGATGAAGCATCCGTATAGGCTGATGCGGCTACCGGTGCCGTATGCTGGCATACCATGGCCAACAAAGGACAAGCGGGACGCAGGTAAAAACAAAACCACAATAAGAATAACATGACGACGGCTCAGCGGCCAGCGCGCGCAAACATGCCTGCCTGCCTCTCGCGCCGGTGCCTTCTTCTGGACGTTGGCAAGGCAACATGCGCGTTTCGCGGCGGGCGCCACCTGTCGTCAGTTCCAGACCCAAGCTGCCCTGCCCACTGCGGTGAGCTGGCTGTGATCCGCCTGTGATCCGCCTCACGCAGTCGCGCCTGCCGTCAGGTGAGTGACTGCCCGGACATCGTCACCAAGCACACTCCGTAGAGGTGGGCGACGATCACGACTTTCAGCAGCGAACCAACCTACAGTACCTGCCTCTTGGACCGGGGCTGGGTACCGGTAATGTAGCATGCACGACGCACGCCCGCAATGGTGCATCATGGTGGGCGAGGCGCCTTAAGCCTGGTGGTCGGTCTGTCACCAAGACCACGCCTCGACAGTCACCGCCAACGGGCATGAGGGGTCAGGTTGAAAGGCCTCGGCTGACCCGTCTTGCAGGATCGGCCTTGCGCCGATGGCCGCCTTCTGCAGCCGCCAGGTGCAGGCGGGCTGGGCCGCGTCTACCGACGTACATACGTACGTACGTGTGCAGTGGAGCGGGCCGAACCGAAATCAGCAGCACACGCATCTTCCGTACGTACATACGAGCGCGTAGAGTAAGGCTGCCAAGTCAACGGGCGGGACTGCCAGATGCTGCGAAGCCTCGGAGCTGCACGATCTATGCATCCCCGCCGAACCTGGGTGGCCGACTGCCTCGGACAAGCCAGAGGCACTCGGACGCCTGCCTTCCCTCGGATCGGCATCGGGGTCGGCAAATGCTGCTCAGCATTCCATCTCGACGCCGCCGTCGAGACTGTATGCAGGTGTCTTCGAGGCTGTTGTATCTCGTCATCTCTGGCCGAGCCCCACTCGCAGCCGCAGTCAAACCCGCGCTCGACGCCTTCGGCCCGCCGCGTCCAGCGAACAATCAGAGCATTTGATGACGGCTGCATCGGGCTCGTCGTGACAAAGCGAGAGAAAGGAGGGGCTGACCGAGCCGAAGCCCGGATCGCTTCGGCGTCATGGCGTAAGGGGCGAGTCGAATGCTTCTTAGCTTCCTTCTCCCCCCTCCCCCTTCCCATTGGCGCTCATCAGGCAAGGAAGCAGCGGCACCCTCGTTGTGCATTTCCGGACCTGTGTCTTCCGAGCAAACAAACGGCCAGCCTCCGCCGGAAATCGCATGAGCAACGCGGCTCGTCTGGCCGTAAAAGCTTGGTACACGACGGCATGGCGCAGCATCAGGCCTGGCTGTGCATGCCACGGCGACTCCTCATACCAGTATCCTCGCTGCGGCGCACTCGTTGACGACCAAGATGACAATCGATGCC